GCAACCACCAACCAGGAGATTTTGGAACACTTCATGCTTCCTTCCGCAGACGAGCTTTATGGGGATGCTGATTTCATTTTCCAGCAGGACTTGGCACCTGCCCACACTGCCAAAAGCACCAAAACCTGGTTCAATGACTGTGGGATTACTGTGCTTGATTGGCCAGCAAACTCGCCTGACCTGAACCCCATAATCTATGGGGCATTGCCAAGAGAAAGATGAGAGACATGGGACTGAACAATGCAGAAGAGCTGAAGGCCGCTATTGAAGCATCCTGGTCTTCCATAACATCTTAGCAGCGTCACAGGCTGATAGCTTCCATGCCACACCACATTGAGGCAGTAATTGCTGCAAAAGGGACCCAAACCAAGTACTGAGTACATATGCATGCTTATACTTTTCAGAGGTCTGATATTGTTCTATGTGCAATCCTTGTTTTATTGATTCCATGTAATATTCTAATTTTCTGAGATTGTGAATTTGGGGTTTTCATGAGCTGTAAGCCATCATCATAATTATGACAAATCATGGCTTGAACTATCTTGCTCTGCATGTAATGAGTCTATCTCATAGTTTCACCTTTTAAGTTGCATTACTGAAATAAATGAACTTTTGCATGATATTCTAATTTTTCGAGTTTCACCTGTAGTTCAAAGTCCTTAAAAAACCTATGTGCTTAGGTAATTCTATTTGCAATAGCAACAAGATATCTACAAACTGCCATATAATTAACTCCTGAATATTTGAATCTTTAATTACATGATCCATGTCACCTCAGTTTTGCAGCAGAAATGGATTCAATGTTTATCTTGCAACATACAAAGTCAGCCATTAACAACAGGATGTTAGTAATGTACTAAACTCCTGCTGTTATGGCTGACTTTTAATGGTACCTGAATTTATTTTCTGTTCAATTAAGGAAAAACAATCTTGCATATACATAGCTTTTGTAAGAAATAAAACTTTGAATGTCTATTGACCTCATCCCTTTCCTAAGAGGTCTGTAGGAGACGTGCATAAGTGCACCAAAGTGCCTACCGTCCCTATCCTATTGTTTCTTTTATTTTCTTACATGTATCCATGTATTCATAACTATTTTTATACTTATACCTATTATCTTGTAAGCAATTGATAAATCAAATTAATAAATAAAAAAAATGTTGAACAATGTTTCCTAAGAATGAATGGTAGTTTTAAAGTTTGTATTACAAACTTTAAAACTACCAGTAGAAGTAGTCCAAAACAGAGTTTGACCATTTATAAGTAAAGCACATATGCACATCCGTGCGCAGTTCAACTTGCACAAGTTGAGCTGTGTGTGCATGTGCACATGTGCTGGGCTGCTCCTTGTGTGGCCCTGTCCTGAATAGGCCACAGCCCAGTATGGGCCACTGCCGGGGGGCTGGTGACCCCTGTTCTATATGACTCAGAATTCAACTTCTTACAAGAAATGCATTGTTGTCAACCATCAGGTAGTCTCACCCAGCAAGGTCATTCCCGTCCAAATTGGAACCACATTATACAGGAAAATAAATCTTAAAATCTTCTGTAACCTTAAATAATAATCAGCAAATACTAATAATGTGATTCTTTTCTCTTTTGCTTGTTTTAATAAGCAACAATTTGATGTTTTTGCAACTGGTTTAATGCAACATTTCTAACACTATGCAGGCAATGTATTTAGAAGAAAGCTTCACTGAAATCTGTATGAATAATTCTGCTTAGGATGTAATGTTATCAAAGGAATTTGTTATTGAAAGTTACTTCTTCGACGCAAATTGTAACCAAACTGTTTCATAAATTTCTATTTCCTGAAAAGAACCAGTATTTCAAAGCAATCTGTTCTGAATACAGGTAAGAAGGTAGGAACTGTTGTGTCACACCAGCTGCCAGTGGAACTGGCGGCAGACTTGGACAATGAGGTGGCTGGGGAGGAACGTGGGCCAGTCCTGGAGTCTGGGGAAGGCTCTGTTGGATGTTCTGCATTGGAAGCAGAGATAGGGCCAAGGTTGTCTGACATTTCCCAGTTACCGTTGGAGATAAGTGGGGAAGAAGAAAAGCTGGTTCCAGATGCGCGTATGCACAGAGGTGTCAGGAGAGAACTGAGGAACAGGAGCCAACTAGGGAATAAAGACACACTGGGATGCTGAATAGCCCCTTCCTGGGGAATAAATAGAAACAAAAGGGGAACGGTGGTTGCAGGAGAAAATAGTTCCATATTTCTTTTGTAAAATTTGCTTATTGTGGTTCTTGCTTCACTTCTTTCTAGGAATTTACAGCTTTGCGACTGGAAGCTCTCAGCCTTGCAATTATGCAAGGACTGATAAGGTCTGTTCTTGCAATTAACCCTTGGAAGGATTATTGCCTGGACTTTTCTGTGTGTGAATGCCATGAATTCACAGTAACTAAATAAAGAGGGTTTTTTTGGGACAAGGAATCTGTTTCTTGGTTCTGCTAAGGCTTGGTCAGAACAGGAACATAGAAATAAAAATTAATACATTATATAAATTAATTCAATAGGGAGCATACTTACCCCTAGTTTTTAATATTCCCCAATGCTAAAAAATACCCAATTGTATGTATATACACATAAACACACATAAGAAATAATTTTAGCTAAAATTCTAACATGCACAGAAAACTTTTACAAAACAGTTGGAAGAACAGTATAGTTTGTATTTAAGGTATAAAAAGGAAAATAAGTCACGCTGCACCCAAAGAGAAAAAGCATATTATTTATTGGCATTAATATATCAGAGTACAAAATATAAGAAATGCATATTGCATAGTGATGTGGTAAAGTGTAATTAACAGTACCATTTCTTCACATTGTATTGTGCAAATGCAGCATTAAAGAAATAACTGTATTTACAGAGAAAATTTTTTTTTAAAAAAAATAAATAATTTTAAAGCTCCAGCTTGTTCTAGTTGACCAGTCACCCTTTTGAAATTATTTTCTTTTTCTCTTCTACAACCATATATAAACTTATGTACAACACAATTCATGTTAAGTACTTAGCTGCTCAATTAAATCTTCCACAGTATACACAATAACTTTGATATCATCTTTCTCTTTCATCCGATGTTGGCCAGATTTGCGGAGAATAATATCCACATCGCCACTCACAATATTCTCTGCAACTTTCATAGAAATCTGCCATGGAACATCTTCATCCTTTAAGCCATGGATAAGTCTTACAGGACACTTAATAGGTAGTGGACTGCTCAACACACAGTGATTTTCTGCTTCCTGAATGAGTTCATATGGCACAGAGTAAAATCCTTCTTCACTGTATTTGGTTGGGAGTTTCCATTCACCCTTTTCTTCTATTTCTTTTTTTGCCTAAGATGTTAAACACGTGTAAGGTTGATATACTGGAAAGAAAGGCAAAAATGCAGGAATGGCACTCTATAAAGGATGGGTGGTAATTTTATAAATGAGTGCTTTGAGACTCACCCCCCAAGCAACCATTTTACAAAAGTACTCACAAAATCTCAAAATTATTATACTTTGGCTGAAAATGTACATTATTTACACTGCCTACTGAAGTTCCAAACAATATTCGAAATACACTGATGTACAATGCATGAAGATCCTTTAATCTGAATACTTCTTAGCATGAATAACTGAGCATGAATAACTGAAAATTTCTCTTTCTGAAAGAGGGTTCTGGTTCACATAAATTATTATTTAATATAAACTCTAGGAGACCCATTAGACCTATCACAAACCTATCTATACTTAATGTCACCTCTCAGGAACTGAAGAATTATTTATTTATATATTTGGCTGCTTATTTATTCCTCAATGTTTACAGCAAGAAAAATGCAATAAAAGCCAACGAAAACACATGCAAACCATAAAAGCAGGAAATAAACCAGAAACCAATTATTTCAGTTGTTTTTTTAAAAAACATATTCTAGAAGGATAACAATGAGGGTGCCAATCTAATCTAGAGAGGAAGCATGTACATAACATGGAAAAAAATTGCAAAAATGAATGATCCTTTTCACTTGCCTTTCACAGATTTGCCTTAAATTATGCTACTAGGAACATTAGGTTCCACCCTAATGACTTGAATGGCTCTACTGCTCTTTTAAGGCTCACAGAAACATCCCTTCTTCCAATGAAGTGTTCTATTCAAGAGCTGTGGTCGAACAGTGGTATTGCAGTCTCGAGTCTCACTTGACTCAGCCTTCCATCCTTCTGAGGTCGGTAAAATGAGGACCCAGATTGTTGAGGGCAATATGCTGACTCTGTAAACCGCTTAGAGAAGGCTGTAAAGCACTGTGAAGCAGTATATAAGTCTAAGTGCTATTGCTATTCCATGGAACCAACTTTTGCTCTGGTTTTTCAAGACAGCCGAAAGGGACATAGATAAAATGATGGAACTGATTTAAGAAAGAAGGCTTTTTGTTTCATTGGAGTCCACTTGTTGAAAACATAAGCAGATAATATTGCAGGTTGTGGCTCCAGAAACTATATCAAATTACATTGCATCTGAGAGTTTTATCACAAAAAAGTTCCACTACTTTCTTTCTGCTCAACATTTTCTAATAAGCTTTAAATCATCATGTTTTATCTTTTATTCACTGGCTTAGATTCTTCATTGACCTCACACCAGTTCAATCCTTTGGCTCCTCAACTGACTCATACAAAACAGAAAGTAAACAATGATTGCAGTAAAATTTAATTTTGATAAGCTGAAATGAAATGAAATTTTGTAAACCCTGAAGCAGGATGAAACAACAGTTCTTGGCCTCGGTATTTTTAACTTGGTTTGTTATGATAACCCTAAGTTGGTTCAGTTAACTAAGTATTTTAAAAAAGAGCTTTTTAAAACATTACCACAAATACTTTAAATAATAAAAGACTATTACTCTTTCTAATCCTCAAGTAGAACTCATGTTTCCAGCTGACATCACAATCTATCCCAGGTCCTTATCTAGGATTATATATTTAATAAACATTTGAATACCAGATCTATATTGGTCCTTACCTCTACAGGAAGTTGTTGAAAAGTTGATACAATATGGTCTGCAGCTACAGCTATTCCAACTAGTGCAGCTATTTTTTCTGGACGGGCAATTGCAGCATGAAGCATCAACCATCCACCCAAACTGGAACCAACTAAAATCTTAAGATAAAAATATTAATAGCACTTTTATTAAGAAATAGCTCACAGACATGTACATCAGTATAATAATGAAGCAAATTAATAAGATGATAGAACTGCCTATTAAAAATAAGTGTCATTGAACATGGAACCGTATTGATTCACAGTATTTTACATATCTCTTCTTTTTAATAAGTGAATATATAGTATGCCAGTTCACAGCACCATATAATTTTAAACTATAGTTCAAAAACCTTGCTTATTTTGACAACGTGAGCTATTTTTAAGGAGATTTTTATTATGTGCCATCAAATCATTTTTAATTCCTAGTGTCACACAGAAGAGTTGTAATAAAAAATTAAAATTAACCCAAGACTCCATGATTCGTTCTTCATGTAAGCAAAAACTGCATAATATCATGATATTCATTCATCCATGCTGGCTCATTTGGAGATAAACAATAGCACAGTCGTTAAACTAGAACTTGTATCCCTAAGGCTCTTATTATTTAGCATAGCTTCAAACTTTTCTGATTGTGTTCTCAAAGCAGTTTGATTTAAAAGGTAATTTTGTAGAGAAGTATTATACTAACACAATAACCATCATCAATCAAAAGTTAATTTTATTAAAGTATTTTACAAATCAAGATTATATTTGCCAGGATTTCACAGTGATCCGGGTTCAATAGAAATAAAGCAATCTGGATTGTACTAAAGTGCCTACATTCCACTATCAGCAATTCCTTAAAGCAGTGATCCCCAACCTTTTTTACGCCGCGGCCCGGTATCCCCAACCTTTTTTATGGCGCGGCCCGGTACCGACATCAGCTGGGCACCGCCATCTTGTTTTGATGAAAAAGTGCTTCCGGTGAGCTTTCTACCCGGAAAAGCTCACCGGAAGCACTTTTTCATCAAAACAAGATGGCGGCGCCCAGCAAGCCAGCGGCCCGGTAGGACTTGTTCCACGGACCGGGACTGGTCCGCAGACCGGTGGTTGGGGACCCCTGCCTTAAAGGATGTATGTCTCTTCCTAAGCTTATGTAGAAGCATTGCTAAAAAGTGCTATCAGTAAGCTTAGGCAAGTTCTGAACCACCTTTTCTTTTTTAAGCATGGATAGTTGAACAGTCTTTATACCAGCTTCTCTAAAACAGCAGCTATGAATATATTCATACTTCTATTAAAAGAAAAAAACCACACACATAGTAAAAGTTGAGTAAACACTATGCTTCGTTTAAAAATAAAACTAGCCAACCTGTGGTCCCTCTGTGAGTTCATCCAGTACTGAAAGCACATCTTTCCGCCACTTTCCTAAAGTACAATCTTTTACACTGCCTTCTGAACTCCCACAGCCTCTGTAATCAAACCTGTGAAATTATTTTTTTTAAAAAAACAGAGTCCAAATAAAGTTAGGGTTTTACAAGCAGCACTCAATGGGGCTACCAAATAGTTATAATAAAGTTGTTATAATTTCTGTTCATGCAAGAATTACAACAGAAATATTCTCAACCATTCTGATGCTTGGTATATACTTACAAGTGAAGTGCATGTCTGATTATCCTTTCACCACCGTCTCAGTACTATCAACCATATTACCTCTTGGAATATATGGTTGATATGGGGAATATGTTATTATGCAACTCCCAGTCCTAACTGGCTGAATACTTTCTTACAGTGTAGCATATGGCGTGATCTCTTTTGTCAGGGCCCTAGTTTGCACCTATGGTTTATGTTATATATACTGGAGATAATTTGACATGTAAATGCTGGATTGTCAAAACAGAAACAGTTCTGACAAGCAGATGAAGAATTTTACAAGTATAACCACTTGCTCTGGAGTAGTGTTTCTGAAACTTCTGGAGATACTCATAGATTCAGTATTAGAAGATTACATTTCATCAGTGGCCAGAAATGCTTTATATAGCTATAATGTATTTTTGGGAGATAATTACTACAATTTATGCCCTTATAATTTCTTATTTGGATGACTATGATGTGCTTCATGTTATGGTATTTTGATATTTTTGCTTTGATGTTTTTTTATATTCTATGATTTTATTATTGTTCATTACATTAATGATAGCTTCCCACTTCAACAAATTCTGGTATATCATAAAATCTAAAAATAAGTTATAAGAATGAAAGTTGACAAACAAAATAGCTTGGATTAAAAATAGGCATTAAAATACAGTGTGACAGCCCCTTCCCTGCTGCCAAACACATTGACCACACAGCCAGGTTTTAAGGGTTTTTCAGCACCTCAGGAGAGTGGATGCTATATATCTGGGGAAGTCCTATTCAAGAAGGTGGGAGCAATAACAAAGAAGGCAAGCAAAATGGTAGCAGAGAAAGCACTTGGAGTTTTCTCACTCAGTCTGAATGTATCAAATGGCAGAAACAATGCGAGATGGTCCCTTGTAAAACTAGGTCCTTGTTAAAACTAAGTCCTTTAGACTTCACTCTCATCATTGTTAGAGACAGTTTCCATAGAGCAGCGGTCGCCAACTGGTGGGCCGTGAGAGAATTTTGGTGGGCCGCAGAGAAATCTCACCCCCAGAGCACCCCCCAAAGCAATTAATCCAGGCTGCGCAGAAACACAAGGCTTCGCCACCCACATGGCCTGCCCACTCACTCCTTACCCAGTAAACTTGCCTGCTAAATTGCTATTTTTCCTTTTTCCAACCATCATCTGTTCTGCTGTGCCGGGAGATTTAGATTAGCTAGGAAGCAGGAAATGGTTGGATTTCTTGCTTTCTAGCAAGTCTTTAGATCTTCGGCTCTGCTTTTCAGTACAGCCGAACCTCCCTTAGGACTGAAGGTTTGCTTGCAAGCAAATTCAGTGCATACTCACGGCAAGCAAATTTGAGAGACTGAGCTAGCTGATGGCAGATAGATAGATCACTGAATGATTCTGTGAGCAACTCAATTTGCCTGCCTGCTTTGCCTGATTTTGGGTAAAAGTTGCTCTTTTTTAAAATAAAAAATGCAATAATTACATGCATGGTGTGTTGTGAGTTAATTTTATGAGTTTGCTTGCTAGCAAATTTTATGTGACAGACTGAGCTAGCCAATGGCAGATAGATAGATTTCTGAATGAATCTGTGATTCTGTGAGCAACTCAATCTGCCTGCCTGCTTTGCCTGATTTTGGATAAAGTTGCTTTTTTATTAAAAAAATAATCAATATTTATATATTTATATTTACATGCAAGCCATGCCCAGCCAGTCACATGACCACCAAGCCACACCCATAAATTAGGCCACACCCACACAACTAGTTAGTGGTCCCTGGGATCTAAAATTATGAGTTTGGTAGTCCCTGAGGTCCAAAAGGTTGGCGACCCCTGCCATAGAGGATAGGTTTGGATAAAGAAACCCACTTAGCAGAAAATAATAATTACCAGTTCCACTTCAGAGGATTGAAAAATTCTATACTAGTTTTTGCCAATTTAATGGATTATCATGCTTGTGTTTTTAGCAGTATTATTAATTTATATATAACATTAAGATACCCGACAGACAGCGAATATAGGATTTATAAATTTAACAACAAAGCAACAATTTAGAAAGTCATATATAAATTAATTGCATATCACCAATCAACAGTAAGTTTTTTAAAAACATACCTTACAAAAGCATGACCAACTGATTTGCAGAAATCTTCTAATGCAAGCACCTTTACACCATTCATATTTGAAAAAATACCGGGCAGGAAGACAACCCCTGGATTCCTGCCTTTCAGCTTATTATAAGCGAGTTTGGGTTGATCAGACCGGTTAAGCAAACTGTGTGATGATTTCTGTTTACAACCTAACCAAAAAATAAACAAATCATTCATATTTTGATGACAGCATTAAAATAATTTTATGCAAATAAAAAGAAACTGACACTGATTAAATCCATGTATTAAGGCTGAGATTCACGACTATGGAGTCATTACATAAAGTTTGGAGAATGTTTTGGGATCCCAAACACTTTGAAATGACATGGTTGAATCTAAGAAATTTGAAAAAATGATTCTGGTTTATAACATTTTATTAATTTTATATGATGTTCAACTCCTAGTTTTACAATTTCCACCTATTTCACTCTTTCACAAATCTCCACATAGTGTATTTGTGGGAGGAAGTTCATGTGCTAATGTCTGGCTTGAAACTATTTATACATTATAAAATATATATTTAAAAAATCTTTAAAATAGAGGCAGTAAAAACTACTTAACCAGCACCCTCCCATTCATCACAGAAAAACAAAGGTTAGAGTTGCTTTGGTTCACATCCTAACAAGTCACAAAATGATCAAGTGTGGAATCTACCAAAACAACACTATGTAATAGAAGATCTGTGAATGTCCAATAACCTTTTGCCCTAGACTAAAAGCTAACTAGCTCACAATAAAGAGGTATTCCTTTAAGTGAACCTGGGTTACAGATTTATTAGTCTACATAAAAACAGACACAATTCACACTTAAAACGTTTATTTATTTCAATGGTTGAGGCAAAAACAGGAATAAAAAATATGTTTTTATGAAATCATGATTTAAATTTTTAACACTTAACATGCAAAGGATGGAATTATAATTTCAGATGAGAAAATAAAAAGTGATTTGTAATAGTTTTACAATGTATTTGTAAACTATTTTCCAAGGTTGCAGGGTTTTACAGGGGAAGGGATACTGATGGTGATGTTATGATGGCTCTTTCTAATTTCAATATTTTTCCTTCCCTTCTGGAAATACAATCACTTGATCACCTTCAGCAAGTGTGACCACTATTCTGAATATTGCAGGCAAAATACATCAGAAAGCCTTTATTCAATAAACAGGCTTACAGCACTCAAAATATATGTATTACTGATGTTTGCTATTAACAATAAAATAGCCTAGCAGGTAAGACTCAGACTTAAAATAACCGCACAACATAATTCAGCATTACTCATGTATTTGGGTAGCTTGTCTATATAATGCTTTATACACACACAAAAATAGCATTCTTTAACACGTTCAATCTTGAAGATTCTACTCAATTGAAAGGGGATTAAAAAGGAATTTAGATTCGATTGAAAGAACTTAGTAAACCAAGCTCAATATTTGGAAAAAATTCTGTTTGTGATTTTTTTCGGGAAAGCCACTATGGCAGAAGGAAAATAAGATATATTCTTTTCCACTGATGTGTAAAATGCATGTGCATTTTCGTTCAAGTGCTAATCTGCATCAATCGTATCCCAATCTTAATTACAAATTAGCGTTAAGTGGAGGCATCTCCTCCATCGCTGCCTTTTTCGGCCGGCGGGACGCAGCAGACCTCACCCACTCCGCACTTACCCAGCAACTGAGGGAAGCCTAAACCTGTCCTATGGGCGAGAGATGAACCCCATTTCTGCTTTCCCCGCGAAAATACTCTCGTAACGCCCGCTACTGCCATGTCCCTCCTGCCCGACGGCGGAACTGGCACACGCCTTTTCCTTCGGCTGCTTTGCCAGCGACAGAGCATGCGCAAAAGGGGGGGGAAAGGGACGCGTCGATTAGGCGTACGCATGCGCCAACTCTTGCTGTACAGTATAGAACAACGAAAACCGCTTCGAGTGCCTCTTTCTATAAGATACAATAGAGCCTCAAGCCTGGTTTTTCTATAGTAGCTCTTCCAAGTGAGAGATTTATACATTTACACTGATAAGTTTGTTCTTTGCAAATTTTAATGGCGGATGGGTTGTTTACGTTAGTTTTTTTTTTTCTTTCCTGTTTTTTGTAATAGCTGACAGCTGAACACCAAGGACCCCCTCATTTATACATTCATTGATTAAACGTGGTTTAAGAACTGGATTTAAAAACTAGTCTGAAGACCGTGATCTATGTTAGACTGGTGTACTTTCAAAACACAAATAAAACAGAACATGACGTGAAATGTATTACTAATACATACATTATTATCTTGCTGTGTTTGTCTATTGAAACAAAAACAGACGACTGCTGATTTTTCAACTAGCAAATTGTCAGAGCATTTCAGTAGTCCAGGCCATTCCGATTACTGCCTGTTTTTGAACAAGAGGTTGTTGAACTCACATGCATCAGTTGATTCAGGCAATTCCAGAACGTTTCAACAAACAGTGGATTATAAAAAACACTAATTATTGATAAGGTAGTTGCATCGTGTAATCTGGATAACTACCCTAACTTCCCCTATAATCAAGCCACTCAATGCATTTAATGAACTGCAATTTCATATGAACTTTAATCAAATTTTTTAGTTGGAAAAATGCTAGTCTTTCTTAAAGTTGTCAGAGATAATTCTATCATGTTCCTATTTATAAGGGATTTTGCCTGATGTTTACCCCTCCTCCCCTTCCTATATTGATGGACAGAATTTCTTTTCTTTTTACCAATGTGAGAGCTAGTTTGGTGTAGAGGGTCAGGTAGCAGGAAAGAAACTGCAAGAATGGTTAGAATGTAGAATGAATTATGGTTAGAATGAATTAGCATAGCTAATTCACTGCTCACTCCAATTTGATTCTGACCAGCTGAAGGTTGACTCCACTTTCCATCCTTCCGAAGTCATTAAAATGAGGACCCAGATTGCTTGGGGCAATATGCTGACTCTGTAAACCAGGGCTGTCAAACTCCCGGTCCATAGGCCGAATTCATCACACACTGGCCATGCCCATGCCCGGTTTAGTGAATGGCAAAAGTCCCGATACATCATGTGACGCTGCCTTGACAGTGTGTGTTTGACACCCCTGATGTAAACTATTGAGAGGGCTGTAAACCACCATGAAGTGGTATATAAATCTAAGTGCTATTGCTTATAGGTCTCAGATCCCAGTTGGGTGGACCTTAGACTAGTCACTTTCAGCTCTGGGAAAGAAGCAATGGCAAACCACATCTGAAAAACCTTGCTGAGAAAACTGCAAGGACTTGTCTGGGCAGTCTCTGAGAATTGGACATGATTGAAGGAGGGGGGGTGGAATCTGGTGTGATGTTGACCACTAGGAGGCAACATGAGTCATTATATCCTTTACTGAGACTTTTCAGTCACAGGCAGCCAGATGTTATTCTGTGGGGCTCAATCCTTTAGCATGAATTAAATTCATAGTGCTCTATAGTTTAGATAACATATACGGTATGTTAGCTTTCAGAGATCTCCAAGTCTTGGTACTCAAAAAGGATCTCTTTTTGTAATTGGCAAAAAAGTAATCTTGAATTTAATGAATGTATTCCAGATACGCCATGTTAGATTGCTAAATAATTCAGATTTAATGATAGATTTAACAACTGAATTAATTTTGTACACAGTTTTAAATTTATCACGTGGATTTTCATATTTTGTTTTTCTCACTATATTATACTATTCAGTGTATGTCTATTTTATTATTTTAACAGTAAACATTTTTAGAAACAAACCTATTCTAATCTGGCTGAATTGGTGCACTGAGTTCCTTAAACAATGTTGTCTATTGGAACTGTGCCTTTTCTGTAACAACTCCTACCTTACTGGTATTTGGAAAGTCTCTGAAACTGTTTTCCCCACACCTTTTCTTCTTTTCCTTTGTCTCCATTACAAATTTTCCACCATCTTTGTTAGCTTTGTTTTGTGATGGTTTTGTCTTTTTTCTGTTGTTTTTAAAGAAATTTGAGTCGCTCAGAGTTCAGCTGCATATAACATTTAATAAGTTACTACTGTATACAATAAATAAGTATTTAATAAAAGCCAACTTTGAAATGAAATCAGATGGCAGAGCACCTTCAACTAACCAACTAACCTTCAACTACTTCTATTATCGTAGATATTTAGGATATTTAGCTCAGTCCATTCTGTAACTGCATTAACAGCTACAGGGAATCTCAAATCTCTTAGGTTCCCAGAAAATTATTGAAAAACCAGACTTGAATTTGAAAATGTTTTAACATTTATTTAAATGTTGCCATTACAACATGCAAGATACAAAAAAAATAGAAAACCTGTAAAATTTATATAGAAGTAAAATTAAAATATTCATTAGAAACAGTGAAACCAATGGCATTAATTTTTGGAAATTATCTTATAACATTGGTGAAGCAAAATTTTCAAACTCCTTTTCCTTCAGAAGACACAAATTTAAGTTTTTCTTTTGTATTTTTTATTTTTTAGTGTGGGATGGATCTAGATGAATTGTGTTGAGAACAAAATTCTGGAAGCAATCCACCTTTCTATTAATACAAACTTAATTTTGATAGATTTCAATGGTCTTACTTTAATATGATTTAGTCTGAATTAAACTTAATGCCTTTTTCTCTGGTGAACAAAACCACAAGTAAATACCAGTAAGTTAAATAACATATATTACACAGTGTATATACAATTAAAGTTTAATACTTCTTTATTTATTTGCATTTAATTAAAAGAAAAACAACTTTAAGCCCTGATTCAACAATTTAAATGCAAGTTTTTAATGTGATTTTTCGTGTAAATGCATCCGAAGATATGTGGCATCTCTGAACTACTGTTATCATGCTACTTGGCACCACACACTATACTAAATTCAGTATATTTCAATAACTATTTTTGAAAGTGGTTTATTTATAATTTCTTTAATGAGAGTTAAGATTTTTCATTTAGTGCACTGAAAATATGGCATGTATAAAATCAAAATATTAAAAGGCAACATCAAATACAAGCATGATTCAAAATCCAAACTTCCTCTGAATACAGTACTTAAAGACGATAAGATTATCTTAAATGAAATGGTCTTTAAGGAATATATAATCTTAAGAACATAACACGGTGATCCCTTGAATGCATAATTTTTTAAAAACATGGTATGGCAAGTGCTAGATATAGGGTCCAGACCATCAATTAATTTACCCACTGAGTCTGGAATCAGTGGTTAGTGATTTAGTCCAGTATCCCCTCTAAGATTATCTTTCTTATAATCAGCACTAAATAATTTTTTGATCAGAGTTGCCTGAGCTCAAACCTGGAAGTATTTGCATAATGCACATGCTCTGTTAACTGAATTATGGTCCCCATACATTTCTTCAGACATGAGGAACAGAAAGAAGGACTGTACTGCACTTTATTCAAGAGAAATGCTGTGATAGTTTCCTCAGTACATTAGTGAAACAATTTTTTCTATGTTAACAACATAAAGAGTGATCTAGAATATGAAATCTGAAACATAGCACTAAAATGAATGTGTAGTAGAACTGTTGCAATTTTGTTTATGATGCAAAATAAGTTTTCATGGCTTCTATTCAGACACCTATCAAATTAGCTGCAAAATATGTCTGTGTGCCAAAAAGAAATGCTTCATCATCAATGGAAATATAATTCAGAAAAGATTTGAAGATTTTTCTTCATGATTGCTCTTAAGTACAGTATATCCTAAGAAATTTTTCATTCTAGTTTATAAGCCAATTTAGTCTGGGAGAATATTCAATTACATTCAAATATTTATTTTATATGGGAAAGTTGTGAATAGTTGTTCCATAGACTTGTAATTTTACACACAAAAACCAAGTTATTTGGGGAGGTCCTTACATGGTTATGGCTTTTTAATTTTGGTTCTTAATTCTATGCTGTATGGTGAAGGAATATTTTTGTAAAGAAATTGTAATTTGCTAAGAAAATAAGCAATAGCCTCAGTAGAAATGCAGACATAATTGCTCACTATAGATTTTCATCTGATTCTATCCTCTAAAGAAGAAAGCTAAAATACCTAAAGATATCAATTTTGTTAACATTCAAAATAACATCCAGCATTCAAAGATACAGATAGAAAGATTTTAAAACACTAGTATATATAAAAGAATTTAAAAACTGTTCTATTACATAAAATTAAATCTCTACACACGGAGTATGAATCTTTGGTTGTGTTTTAAGACAAAAAACACTGCAAACAGTAGCTTAAAATTTGCTATAAAATACTTGTAAGGAAAAGAACATAAAATTGTTCATAAACCCTGTACATTAAATATAGAGGCATCATATCTTTCTCTTTCACTTCTTAATACAAAATACTATACTTAAAAGTATAGCAACACTGTTAATGACATTTTTTTTCCATAAGGAAAGTTCAGCATGGTAGAATTTGTAAGAAAATGCCACATAAATTGGCTTATGGCTGGTTATTCATTTTTGGAGGGTTCTTATCTTTTAAGTAGAGGGTTTTTTGTGTTACGTCAACATCTAATAAATCGAATACATAACAAAATAAAGTCCCACCAGAATTTCATGTTTCCTTACATATGATACATTTTCTTTTGAGATTAAGATTAGTTCTATTGATAGAATTTTATACATATGACTTGTCAATGGCTTTCCATTCTCACAAACACAGCTATTATTGCATTATGCCCTATTGTCGAAACTTTGCACTATATTACTACAACATGAAGTGTGTGTATCCTTCTGCTCCTGTAACTATTACATCCATCCATATTCGCATAGCTTCTGGTGATGGGGCCACCATATAATATATTCTGTCATGAGTTTTAACGCTGAAGGTAAGCAATGGATTAGGGCTCTGGAAAGAAAGTAGAAGTTTATATAATTATTGTTATTATACATTCTGAAACAGATGGAAATGTAATGTTGAATGTTACATTTTTACTCTTTTTCTTGAATAATTGTGAAATAAAGAATGTAGCTGAGTTGAAATATAAATTGAGTGAATAATTGTATGTGCCATTTTCATTACTAGTTATTGATTTCGTAAAAATAAACATTTGTTTTAATCCTGGCTCTGCCCTCTTAGGAATGTGGCTAATGGCAGTCAACGAACACACTCTGTCTCACACACAGACACACACAAATACAAATACATGTGACATATAATGTGTCATATAAACATTACCGTACACTATTTGTATTGTTTATCTAGCTTTCCTTTCTGTATACTGTTTGTTATTTTGTGGTGAGGAACTAATTTAAAATCAAAATTAACTTATTTTGGGGTAAAAAGGGAATATGTCCCAACATTACTGGTTATGTTGGCTGGCAGTTGTAGTTTTTGCTGCTCAGATTTTATACATTTTAGGTTTCAAAGTAGGATTTTGAACAGATTCCAGGTAAAAACGTAATACTTTTCTAGTGACAGTGAACCTATGATATGTGTGTCACAGATGACACACCATGCCATTTTTGATGACACACCAAGCCTTTTAACCCTTTGGAAGTTCTGCGAGAGGGCCTGGCACAACCTCTGAGGCATCTGAAAATTGTGCAAACATTCTGGCTCCAGAGGCAATCCAGAGATGCCTTTTTTGTCCAGGATGGGGATGAAGTGCATGTGATACACCAGTAGTCAAGTTATGCATTTCTAAATTTTAGATATGCTGAGCCCAAACAGTTTGTCATCACTGCATATTTCTGTAATGAAATACTAGTTCTCTATTGTAATTGCATTTATTGTATTAGCTATAAATTTCTATATGTAGGCAGGGAAGCAAAGAAACTAGCACAATACCATGATCTTTATAAACTGTCAAAATCAGAATGTGTATAGGATCTATAGTCTCATTAAGTTTTTTAAACATATTTTTGCCTCAGTTTCATTACAGTAAAAAGCTTATTTAAATGTGGATACTATACAACCTAAGCATAATCATGAGCTTGATCCAAATATAACATTTATTTGTAAATTAATTTTTAATTAATGGTAAGAAAGTATTGATATTTAAAATTTCTTACAATCTGGATATTACATTTCATTTCAAAGGATTTATTAATTTTCCTCAATTTTCTCTTATATTTTCATATACTGTTCTTCAACCCATCAGCTTCTTGCTATTAAGTCACCTTTTCTATTATTGTCTATATATAATAATAGTGTCTATTTCATCTAAACATTAAAAATATATTTTAAGAAAAGCAAGATATGCATCTTTTCTTACCTTGCAAGCATTCTTTAAATGATCATAATAAACTTCTTCAATGGCTTGGAAATAAATTACTCCTTTTAATTTAGTTTCATGTTTGTCTAGAGTAAAATAAAAAAAAAACTGGGTTGAAACAAACAAGCCATCATAGAGATTACAGATTACCATTAAGACCTCTATTTGATTTAAAATAAACTGGTGTTTTACTTGGATACCAATTTGATTTGACAATACATTAACACATCAGAATATCAACGAGGCATACTCACAGTAAGGTACAGTATTTTTATCTGGAACACATATTTACTGTGTCCCAAGATGAATCTATCACTCCATCAACTAACCAATGGATCAGCCAATTTGTCTGTCTGTAGTTGGTTCCCAAAATTATTAACCATTTGGCACACGACTGTATTTTTTATTTTCTCTATTTCAAACCTAATAAAAGCTTTTAGCTGTGAGTTGAAATACTAGGTACAGAGAGATTGCTGATGGTAGAACAAAAGGTGAAGAATGCCATTATTAATCTCTCAAGAGAGATAGCACAGGAACAAAAGTCAGTAACACAAACTATATTTCTTTAGGCTACATTTGCCTTTGCATAGGGGTGGGCTTCAAAAATATCAGCAACCAATTCTCTGTCTGGTTGCTGGGTGGGCATGGCCATGGTAGGTGTGGCCTAATCGGCCTCCTACACTATGGCGGGAGGGCATTTCACCCTCCCCGGGCTCTGGTGGCTTTTCTTGAGCCTCCAGGAGGGCGAAAATGGCCTCCGGAGGCCGCAAATGAGCCTCCGGAAATTCCGGGAGGCCCATTTTTCGCCCTCCCCAGGCTCTGGAGACTTTCTTTGACCCTCCAGGAAGGCAAAAACAGCTTTACCCAGGCTCCGGAGGCTGGAAAAAGCCTGTTTCTGGCCTTTCGGATCTTCCAGGAGGTCCATCTTTCGCCCTCCCCGAGCCTCTGTGCGGACCCTGTACTTACCTGGCATTCAAAACGGGCCTCATGGGAGAATTCTGGGAGGGGCGGGCGGGGCCAGCCAGGGGTGGGATTTGTGGGTTCACTGCACTCCGCAGAATCTTAGCTAGAGGATCTCTCGAACCCGTGTGAACCCGCAGCAACCCACCCCTGCCTTTGTATTCCTTGCTGTTAAGCCTCCTGTTGCCTCCTTGTCAATCTTATTGGTTTGCTATAATATCAGCTAATGTAAAGTGCACAGTGCAGGATAGTCAATTACAGAAAACAAGCACAAAAAGACCCAGCTTTTGGCAATGTGAGATTCTCCAGATTGTAAGTCCTAATTTTCTAGCCTTAAAAATGCATATGTTTCCAAATAACGATAACTTGTAACAAAAATTCTTAGAAAACAATAAATGACCAGGTCCGTAATTTGAAGAATATTGATTCATAGTTTATGCAAACAAGTTCATCAGTTTTGATTCCATCTACACACAGTTATATTGGGCATTTCTTTGCTTCTACAGAACCAGAACATGAGGTACGAACATTAATGCTAACCTTTAACTTCATTCCAAGATGTAAACATACAAGACTGGTAAGCAATAAGATAAACATTTTTAAGTTAAAAAAATAGAATTTATGAATGTAATAAATTTAATACAGCAACAGGAAGAATGCCATGGCAAAACTAAGACCATAACTCACCTGCATAATAAGAAAATGTTCTTTTGTTTCTATCAAACACAAACCATCTTTTTTTCCATGTTTTAATTTTCCCTCCCATCTTAACAAGAAAGCCCCGGCAAGTCTTCTCAGTGAGTGAGACATGGTAACAAGTCTCTATATTATGGCCAGCTGTCTCTATGTGGCCACGCAGATCAAAATCCTCCTTTCTGACTGGCAAATAACGAGTCAGGGGACGAGACTAAAATAAAGATACGATTAATATTGTTATTACAATTTTCTGTTTTCATTATTACAATTAGTCCAGTTTTTTTTCAATGCATGGCATTACAATTCTTCCCTTTTAGCATAAAAACGTTATGCAAAGTGTAGGAAAAAAGATGTGTGTTCTTAAAGAACCACTTCAACTGCATTTAGCCTAGGTTTCTCCTGACATCTCCCCTTCATGTTTCATCTAACAAAATGAGAAGTATGGTCTATAGAGAGCCATTTTAGCTTATTTTAATAAATGTACAATCCTCACAACAGACAGCATGTTATCCACTAATTGTTTACATTTGCACATTTAAAAAAATCAATTTTCCCATCTTTTCAGGATAGAAATCATCTATTTGCCCTACATTTTCATCACTTGTATATAACCTGCAATGTTATCTCTACTTTTTAATAAAAATAGCTATGCTGGTCTTTGATAAGTTTGATAAGTGTAGACTTGTACCAAGGTCTTTCTCATCTTGGTCCAACAAAATGATCTATTCATATGTAGGAACTTCTCTTTCTTAAAACTGCTGTATTTTCTCTATTTCAAGATATTACATACCTGGCTTCTCTGTTTTTCACGTATCTTAACTTCTTTTTCAATTAGTTTTTGTCGCTGACTAGTTTCTTCTTGTAACCTTTTTTCTAACTGTTCTCTGCGACGCTTTTCTTCTTCTAGGGCCTTTTTTTTAACTTCCATTTCTCGTTCCTAAAGGAATACAGGCAATCTAACATAAATGAACATTCTCCACTTTTTTTAAAAAAATAGTTTTAATACAAGTTGATCTAATTTAAATGTACTGTTTGCTAATCTACCTTCCAGTTTCTGAGCCCCGGTAAATGGAACAAGTGAAAGTGGTAAGAGTTTTGCCACTTTTTCATCCTCCTCAGATTTGGATGATTATTTCCTGTCTATCTCTGTATATGTGCATGTCTCCCATATCCTTTCTGATTGTGTGGAGTTGGATATTCTTGCTTCAGCTTGGGGCAAGGCACTGAGTTGCATTTATTTTTACGATAAAAATGACAGCAATCATGGCTTGTCTTTGACACTCAGTAAAAACAAATAAAAATAGAAAATATTAGCAAACATTTGAAACACAAAAATACCCACTCTGCCTTAGGGCCTGGGGTGGTTTTGCCCGAATCATAAAGTTTTATTTCTGTCAACATTTTGGAGAATCACTGGATTATAATACCAATTATAAAATCTATTGAGATGTTTATTTTTAAAAGCTATTGAAGTTGTGGTTTAAATACAAAGATAAATACTGGATGGATCTATGGTACAATTAAGGATATATATCTACATGTATAATACTCAGGTTTACAACTATCATTAGGCATTACAGATAGCCATCAAAACTTTAATTTTGGAGTCTTGATAACACATAGTTTGCATCCTCCTTGTAATGATAGTTGAATAACACAATAGGATTCAATAAAAATAGCTGTTAAAGCAGATTTAGGATTAATATATTCAAGTTCAGTATCAATATTGTATTAAGCCAGGTTATTTAAAGACTTCCAAATATAGAGCAAGTTACTGTTTCTCTTAAAACGTTATCCAAATTTAACGTCCTGAATATTCAGACTGTCAGAGCCCATAGGATTTATTCTCTAAAACGTGTATGTAGCTAGATAGGGGGAGTTGTGTTGGTTTAGAAAAGCAGACTCAACATTTATTTGTTTAATCATATTTGTTATATTTACTTTTTATAAGTTTTCCAATTATACTGATGGGATTATATGAACGATTAAGGGCAAAAACCATTTTGTTAAACTTCACTTGGATGCAGGCAATTTTCTATTACGAGAATTTTCCAGGAATTTTCTTTACCTCTTTTTTGTAACTAACAAGTTCCATAGATTCAAAAAACTTCAAAACTCCTCTTCCAAAAAGTTCAAAGCAAGATAAGCAGCATTGTCTCTCTCTTTTATTCTCAAAATAACTTTATACGGTAGGCTGCACTGACAGAAAGTCGTTATGACCTGAATATTTCTGGTTCCAAACCAGTATTCCAACCACCACAGCAAATATAGATTGATTCCTTTCTCTGCAATGCACGTGTTATTATAGATATCTCTCTTAGACCAGAATCTTTATTATTCATGTCCTTAAAAATAAGATTATCTCAAGCAACAACTTAATTTGCTTATTTTACAGACTAGTTTTGGATTATATTGCATATTTCTTATTAATCTATAATAAATAAACCTGGGTATCTGTACACTTTTAAATCTGTGTTGGCTGATGATATTGAAATTAATTACAATGCAAGTCCTGTCAACTTCTATCAAAACATACTAATTTCAAAATCTAATGAACATACAACTTCAACAACGGAATATCTTTGAAGTTTCTATGTATATCATTACCCTGGATTCAAGCAACCGTGTCTTCTCAGCATGAGCTTGTTTTAAAAGTCTTTCCATCTCTTCTATTCTTGCCACATTTGCAGTACTGGCACTGTAACAAAAACCAGTAATAATAACTGAAATATTTGAAAAAATATTTCAATCCATTAAAATACATTTCTAGGCTTTTTTTGTTTTCTATGTATTTCCTTTAGTGGAATTACTGATCAAAAGGAACTGTTTAGCCAACTTCGTATTTTTCCACCCAAGTACAAAAAAGCAAAGAATCAATCAATCATCAAAAATACCTAAAACAAAGAGCAAAAATGCAGAACAATTTTTGTCAGATTAATCTAATGGGTGTTCAAGTAGACCAAGATTTTAGTTATAGACAACATGATCTCAGAAGCTTCCAAATAAATCGATGCTGTAGATAAAGTGCTGTTTCTAGCAAAATCATCATTAAAAATACAATTTGTGGTAAGTGTCAAGTTAAATTATTATTTATGTATTATTTAATCTTATTACTCTTCAGCTAAAAGGATTTCCATTGAAATTATACACAGGGAAATGTGACACAGAATAAGAAATGGAAGGAAGAAAAAAATACTAGCACTTAAAGTGACTTATATTGCAACAATCAGTCAAGATGGAAACATTTCAGGTACTCTGATGAAATGGCTGCTAACTACTGGTGGGATTCAAATAATTTAACCACTGTTTCTCTAATGACTGGCTGGGTGGGTATGGCCATCGTGAGCGTGGCCAGGGGATGTAACAGACAGCATTTGGCCTCCTGACCCCCATGGGAGCAAAAACGGGCCACGGGGAGGCGCCGCAACCCCCTGCAAACTGTTTTGGATCTAGTAGGCCTCCCTGCACTTACCTGGGAGCCAAAACGGGGCGTGTGGGGCCTTCTAGAAGGGGTGGGATGGGGTCAGCCAGCAATTTAACACCGGTTTGGCTGAAGTGGTGCGAACCGGTTGAATCCCACCACTGCTGCTAATTAACAATTAATGAAATACCAGAATTAACTGGTCATTAAATAGACAAAAGAGATGTACTATTCCCAATTTCCTATCTTCTCAATTACAATAACTATATATACATACTTACATAAATATTTCTCTCTATTGACTGGGTATTTCTAAAAAGAAAATGTTTTTCTTGCTCTGGCTAAGATCTACAAAACTACATTTCAATAAACTCATATTTAATAATCAAATATACTGGTATGTTTAATTATTGTGTTGTATTTTCTTGAAAAATTGAACAGTGTCACAATATACCTGGAAATATTATCTGGGGAACAGGCAGATATACTTGTCTCCATACTGTCTGTGCTATCTAAACTAAGAGTATCAAAGGTGTGGTCTTTCAGATTAGGATTAGGATAATGAAAGGCATTCAGATACACATTTGATTCTGAGGCAGTTCTGCTGTAGAATTCAGGAGACTTCTGGCTTTGATCCTCACGGAGATGCTGATGATTATAACCTAGAAAAAGAAGGAAAGTCATTTCTGTTTTATAAACTGGGTTAATACAGCATTGATAGTGAACACAAATGCATTAAACTAAAATCTGTTTTAAGAGCCATTTTTATTCAGTACTTATCTCTGGATTTGAAACAATTATTAAAAACACATTCTATTTTAGATACTGGAAATTTTGTTAATAAGGATTCTTATAAGTATAAACTCTATTCTCAAATAGTATATACATATAATGAGATCTTTCTTCCCTTTGCTACCTTGACTCAGCCCAGGGTATTATTTCATGTTATGTAAAATTAAAATATAAACTGATCTATATCTATAGTATCTAATCTAATCTATCTATCCACCAACCCATCTACACACACACATTTATTTTATGTTACATAGCATGTGGTGGTGGATAACTTTAAAATGGGTTAAGTCAAGGAAGCAGAGAGAAAAAAATCTGTACAGTTTTGTAACTTTTATTAATCCAAAACTATAGCACTGTAGAAAGAAAGGATCTGGGATTATTTCTTTTGTATATATCTGTAAGGTTGCAATGTTAATCACTGTTCTATTGGTCTTCTGTAATATCCAATATTCAGAAGAATTTTGCTTTTGATAAGGGGTTTTTCATTTAAATAACTAGGGCAATAAATGTGGAACAGACTTGTATCCCTTGAATTTAAGTGATGTTTTAAAGAGTTCTGTGGAAATAGTATCAGTTGTATATTTGGACAACAATTCTTTAAATTATATATTTTAAGAAGCAGTGACATATCTAATACTGATTCAGGAGACTACATTTGCCGGGAGAATATATTTTGGCAGGCAAATTTTTTTTAGAGTTTGATAAACCACATGAAGTCCACACTTTTAATTTTTATTTAGTCTGCCATCCTAGGTAAGATAAATATCCATATATTATGTCTCACTAAAAATATGAATAAATTTGCAAAAAGCAAATATTGGCATGACAATGAAAAACTCAAATTAATGTCTCATTCAAAGCACTGCATGGAAATGTTTTGCAAAAAGAAAAAAACCAAGCAAGCCAAGTTAATTGAAAGTATCATAAATAATAATAAGCAGAAAAACAGTTGTAAGAAACCTGTTATATTGTTATTAATATCACAACAGAACAAGAGTTGAAATCACACAAAAAAAGTACAAACCACACCAAAGAACACAGTCAAGAGTCTGTTTCTGTTTATGGTGAATCAGAGATGCTTTTAATATGCTAATAGAAATAATTTTAAATAGTTTTGTCAATCCAGAAAATCAGTAGTTGTCACCTCAGCTCGTTCTTCTACATGTATGGTTGCAATAGTCAAATAATAGATTCCTGTTATCATCTCAAGAGTGTTTATATTTTAAAGAAAACATGGAAAAAAGATGAGTCAATTAAACGATGACAAAGCTCATAGTATCCTTGTGTGCTATAGGGTAACAAGAGAAGGAAAGACAGGATACTTTAAAGTCATTTTTCCTTCCACAGGGCTTTAACAGAACTCACACGAGAACTTTCTTCCTTTTATTTAGACAGGCAAACATTAATTTGTCTTCTGCGAATAACAGTGATTTTCAGAAAAAAAGAGTTGGAAGAAAACCAAATTTCTAAAAAATTAACATGTATATACATATTTTACGCATATTTTATACATACATATATGGACAAACAGCTCACTACAAATGCTACTTTTATTCTATGCCAGGCTATAATTCCAATTGTGTGCATATTATATATTTATATCTTCACTTCAAAATTAAGCAAATATTTAGTTTAACCAGTGTCTGCATCTTCCTGAAAATAAATATTGGTTTTTACATAGATGTCAATATTTTTGTGATATCAGTTGCAGTAACAATGTGACCAAGCCACAACTGTTTAGATTTGTCAACATATTTTGCAAGGCCTGGCTGCATTGTATGAACCAGGCTTGTTTTATTTGCAAATCCAAGATAGATTAATTGACATAAACCTGAAGAATTTGTTTGTATGCTGTCTTTACATTATACCCAAGTGATTAATAAATACAGACAGAAAAGAGAAGGATGTTTCAACTGATCTAGCTTCAATATTGGATTCATTATCTTCAAACGTATCAGGAAAATGAATTTACTAAATAAGTGCTGTCATTTAAATCCTGGTGGCATCAATCTCAACAAACTCCCCTACTGCTGTATTCCTCTCTGTCGCCACAGATTTGAGGGCAAAAACCTGTGGGCATAGTCTTGTTTTCAATCTGATGCCATTTTTAATTATATAAGAGAGTTTGTATGATTTAAACATGGGATTGTTTAAATCCTAATACCTTTCTTAAGTTTTTGAATAGGAAATTTAAAATTTCCACACATATTGATTCTGAACAACTTGACAGTGTCCTCTCTGTCATTAGTACTGTAAAATCAAGCATGTAACACCACAGAAAAATGTTTTTCATACCTTTTTTGCTTTTACCTGATTTTAATGACACAAACAGTAGAAAGGAAAAAATATATATAATTATTTTAAAATACTAAATCTTTAAAAACAAATATTCTTACTGAGATGCACAAATCAAACAAATGTAGAAAGAAATGCAATTGTAGAAAAAAGAATTGGGGAAAAAAGGCTGACAATTTCTCTTATAAGATTTTTTTCTTCAAAATATTTTGGATTGCAGTTTTTATCAAAATATGTTATTTCATTCAGCGTATTTAAGATACCGAGTATAAGTGTTCTAAGAATTAAAGTCGCCTCTCCAGGAAGTACACATAATAAATTAAAAAATAAAAATTCAACTACAACTAGTCCTTGACTTACGATCACAATTGAGCCCAAAATTTCTGTTGCTAAGTGAGACAGTTAAGTAAGTTTTGTCCCATTTTACAAACTTTCTTGCCACAGTTGTTGAATTAATCACTGCAGTCGTTAAGTTAGTAACAAGGCTGTTAAATAAATCTGGCTTTCTCGTTGATTTGCTGGTCAGAAAGTCACAAAAGGCGATCACATGTCCCTGGGACACTGAAACCATCATAAATATGAACCAGTTGCCTAGCGTCTGAATTTTGATCATGTGACCATGGGGATGCTGCAGTGTTGTGTGAAAAAGTCATTGCTGTCAGAACTTCAAAAGTCACTAAATGAACTGTTGTAAGTTGAGGACTACCTGTATTTTAAATAGGTTAGGTAAGCACACAGAATCCTTTTAAATGTAGTGGATATTACTTTTAATTAAGTAATGTTAGGGCTGTACTATCTAATTTTATAATTAGAGAAGGCAGCTGAAAGTATATTTTTGTTTGTCTATATGTTTTCTGTTGCTGTTATGAACATTAATAAGCATAAGCATTATACTGTAATACTTTAAATTAATTAGATATTTTGTACTTTGTCTTAAATATTAGAAATAGTTTAAAATGACAGTGTGTATCTCTTCTTATATATGACTTCTAATCCAACAGTGTAGTCACAGATTTGGCTAGATACCAAATGCTCACTCAATAGGCCAAATAAAATTAGGCATGTCTTGGGAAGGAAACCTTCTAGTTTTTCATCTGATATCTAAAGGTTCCAAGTGCAGGAAGATTGAATGTAAGCATCTATAAATATATTCCCAGTGTATTTTACTCTGTATAGTTATAGAAGGTGTGTGTGTGTGTGTGTGTGTGCGCGCGCACCCTTGATTGGGAATGTTCCCTTGATTTCCAAACTACAATGCAAATGAGATTTAGCATGGTAGTAATTTTTAGGCACTATTCAAATAATAAACAAAGCATAAAAAAACCGTTGAAGGACTTCACTTTCAAGAAAAAACTGTTCTGTTTATGATCAATCTGAAAATAAATGCGTACTGAGTTGAGTCAAGATTTAATAAATTCAACACAGACAATGTCTTAACTGGAATCTTGCTGTAAGAAATTATTAAGAATATGTGCAACAATGAAGTATACAAATAAAGACACTTCAATTTTGCATGAGAAAATTTAAGTATCCATTTAAAACAGCTAAAGCTAAATGAAGCTGAATTAATTTGGGTATTTATTCAATTAAAGTAAATATGTACTTAATGTTAATGTGAATATGATTTATATGAGATATTATTGCGTGTAAATATATGGAATAATTCTAAATATCATTACCTTTATGTGTTCTCCTTGTCTCCAAATCTTTGGTCATAGATCCTGAACAATGAGGAAGTATGCTGCCACAGCTACTGCTTTGTCCAAGTGGCAGGTGACCCTGTCAAAAAAACAAAACAAAAACCATTTAGAGCTACTACTTTTTATGTATAAATTTTTCAAATGAACTTTATGTATAACTGAAATATTACTTTTTATGTAAAGTAGCTTAAGGCAATCCAGTTTAAAACACAACCGGCGCACATCCTGGGGTTTTTAATCCAGGATAAATACAAGACAAGTATTTGATGACATTAACTATGGTTTATCCTCAGCAAAACACTCAGGGTGTTCCTCTTAAAATTAATTCACCTTATTTATGGAAGATGGAGTCTAAAACAAAATGAGTCCCTGCAGGGACTATATAAATATAAAATATTTTGAATTTCACCATGCCATAAATACATAGTGATTATCTGAGTGGTCCTTTAACAAGAAGCTCTAAGGTCAAATTTAGTTCAGCTCTGAAATAGCTTGGCAGTCTGAAATCAATTACTTTCTCTCACAGGTGGGAAATTGCACGGGAATTATGTTTCAGGTTTGCTACCCAAACCTGAAGATTAAAGTAATACAATTTTATATTATTATATCGTGTAAATATTGATAATGTACATGTGCATGTGTGAAGAGAAAGCCATCATTCAAGCTGATTAAGTTTCTACTGAACTTCATTAACTCAAAATTCAAAGAAATTCTTGAAACTTGAAATTGAGCAGTACAATTGCTTACCTTAACAGTTCGTCCAAGAGTAGAACTACTGAAATGAGGTGATATGGGAGGAGCTGTTTTCTTGCGAGGCAAAGTATCACTCATGTACAGGCCTTCTTTGTGCTGCTTCTTTCTCTCTTCCAAATTTCGGAAATGCTTAAAATAAATAATAATGTGTAAAATTCTAGTGTGATGACATGCTATGAATGTTAATGTTTCTGAAAAGTCAAAATTTAATTTTAAAACAACTGAAAATTGCCAAAGGTAAAAGGTAAAAAATCAAGACGTCTTCAGATTCCAAAAAATTAGAGTAAATTTTAAATAATTAAAATTTTAAATAATTTACTGTTACATGAATGATTTCCACAAGAAAACTAATTTTAATGTAAACATACTGCAGTAATATATCTTTATATTAAAGGAATAAATATGTTACATTTAAGTGTTTTCTAATACTTGATACTGATACTTCTATACTTGTCATAAATCCTGTTCTATTTAATAATTGCTGAATATAAGCAAAAAGAATAATATATTTTCACTGTGATTTTAAATACCAAAAATGTTTTTGAACAAGAACAATGGCACATATATTTTGAACAAAAATACAAAAAGGTTACACAGGTCTTTATTGGTGATTTTATTTGCTCTAATTTGTTTTAAATGCAAAGTATAATAGAAGTAATCATTTATTAATAAGAAAGGAAGATTGCATAGGGGTGATGTTTCTTAAAGTTAGTTTAATGTTAATGAAATGTATTATTGCCAACTGCATGCTAAATGATAATCTCTTACTGGGTAAATCTAAGTCCTAAGTGTTAACCGATTTTACAGCTTACCCAATCAATGTACCAACTTGCAATACCTCATTCCTTCCATATAAAGGTAAAACTGATTAGTTATTGTGGAGTTGTTTAACTTGTCTTGCCATACTGTAAAGAATAAGGCAGTGGTGTGACTGGACTACTTAACAACCAGTTCTCTGGCTGGGTAGGCGTGGCCAGTTGGTTATATGACTGGGTGGGTGACATCACTCATCACACCCAGCTATGCCTCCTGGCCACTCACCTCAAAGACACGGGTAGGATTCAGACAGTTGGGGCTAATCCCACCACTGGCTGGTCCCACCCCCGCCATTTTCAGCTTGTTTTTTGGGCCATTTTCAGGCTGTTTTTGGCCCCCCAAAATGAACCGAGCGGGGGCGGGACCCATCAGTGATGGATTGTTCAGTTTGCCAAACTGTGCACAATCTTAACTACCGGTTTGGCCAAGCCAGTGCAAACTGGCAGCAGCCCACCTCTGGATTAAGGGTTCTGAAGCTGTTTTATCCAGAAGAAGCTAAAGAATGTAGTCTAAAATTGATTTCTTCCTCAGTAACACACAGGGAGACCAGCAAAGTTTACCATGTAATAAAAATGTAACTTTTATGGATGTTAGTATCTACTCAAAGAAAACAACTTGTGGCTACAAATACAGGAGATCTATAAATGAATTCTTCAATGAAATATAATCTCATATTTGGAACAGATTTCAGAGTGCTTTGCTTGTAAACTGTGAATGTGGCTTCAGAGTTATTTTGGAAGCATTCTTAATGCTTCATACCATACATATAAGTCTATGCCAATATCAGAATGAGACAATAGCAGTGGTGCTATTCTACCAGTTCGTCCTGGTTCTGGTGTACTGGTAGCACCGAAGATCAGCGCGGAGACTGAACTCTCTGATGAGCTGCTGTTGGGCCCACCCGCCCGGGCTCCCATACTGACCTTTATTCCCTGCTTTTGAAGCGCAGCTGCTTTGCGTGGCATAGCAGATTGCTGCGCATCAGCTGTTAAAGCTACAGGAAGAGTGCAGGATTGCAGGAGGTGAGTAGGAAAGCCTCTGCGGTGCGCAAAGTGCATGTTTGGCGTGCACGCAAAGTGTGCCCATGCACGCAAAGCGCGCCCACCAAGCCATACCCACTAAACTGGTGGTAAACCACTTTGCAACTCACCACTGGATAATAGCCATTCAAAATGTTAATGAAGATAAACAATTATTTTCAAATCATCTCTTCAAGTCCTACTTTTACAGAAAAAGGGTTGTAATATTACTAACCAGCACTGGATATGTCAGTGTGACATAAAACTGTTAAGAGTAAAGACATTGGTCTCAATAAAGAAATTGTGCATGTGTAAGATGATGTTTAAATGGGTGGTCCTTAACAAGATGCATGTACAAATTTTCTCAACTAATGCACATAGAACTCTGTGTGCAAAATGTTAGAATTCCATCAGTCAGTTTTAAGGGAAAGGACCATACATTCAGACCTTTAGGGTTCTGAAGAGCTTACTAATGGTTATTTTCCATGCACTTTTTCAAACTGTGGCATGCAACGATAATCATATCATTACCAAGTCAGCCTGCCTTCTGGCATGTTACCTGGGGTTCCCTTCGGTTTTTCTTAGCTGGTAGAGGAGGTGGTGTATCAGGTAAAGTAAAAGACTCTATATTGGCAGCCCTGACCTCAGGCCAGTCGGCTGGTGAGAGTTGTGCAAGAGGGCGAGGAGAGAGAGAGTGAGGAATCACAGATCCATAACAGAAAGGTGATCTTAGCTTTATAGAAAAAAAAGAAATGGTATGAGAGTTTTAAACATACATAGAGGATGCAAATACTACAAAGAAGTTTATTATGGGAAAAGCTTTTTAAAGCCAGAGCTCACTTTATCAGATGCATGAAGTGTGATTAACAGTTTACAGAAAAAAACAAATGGTATTTTTCTTCCACCACACCTAATATTTTGATACTAGGTTTATGATATCCTATTAGGAAAAATAGACCTTGCTTTGCTGTTTTTCCTGGAAATTAAAATGGGAATGGTGTAAACATAAGGGTTCAATGAGAATATAACAAAATCCCAGTTACTTTATCAGCACTCTGGAAAAGAACGGAAGACACAAGATACACCCAAGACAAATAAACCTACACACAACATCTGTTCCTGAAAGAGACCTATAGGAGAAAAATTAACTCATCTCCCTACCCAACTTTTTAACTGATAAAAAGGTTTACTACAACCTGTGAACACCAAGGGAACAAAATTTGAAAGCATAATGTTTACACATGGGAAACATCTCTCCAACAAACCTCTTTATTTTGTGACTGGCTTATCAGGCCAGCTGTGGAAGGTTCAGTGGGAACAGCAGCAGCAGCAGAGGGGGGCTGAGTGGAAGGGGAGATATTCGTGGAATTGCCATGCGGGTCACTAATGTCATTTACATTCACAAAATCCTAAAAGGAGGAATTCAGAGGTTAAACATACAAAAGCAAAAGTCAAAAGGCATGCAAGAATATTAAAATTTGAAATTATCTGTGAAAGTTAGTTTAGAGTGATACAGCCAATGCTGTGGTATTACAAAACTGTTTTCTTGACATACTTTTTCAATCATCTATGCTGAACTCTCCATGCTTTAAATTTACTACAATTTTCATATTATCTCAGGTTAATATAATAAGTGCTTAAATAAAATAATAAGTGCTTAAATAAAACACTACCATATTCTAGAAAGACTTGATGTAGCACTCTGAAAATTTGACTATTTGAATAGTCATGCTTGACTATTTTCAAGCACGATCCCAATAAAGAATGGGAATTAAGCTGCTTTTTAAAGCAAGCAAACACTTAAAAGTCTTTTAAAATATGAAGCTCACTAGAAGAAACAAAAATATGACAGAATCTTACTTTTTCAATTCTATCAAAATAAATTCATGGACCAGAGATATTTTTGAAATCAAATGTTTTGCAGAATACTCTAATAATTCTTTATTCTAATATTCTTTATACAAGGATTATAACAGCTGCAATTCTCAATAAAAATAAGAAAGTCGTTAGAGCAGCAGCAATGGTAGCAGAAAAGTTTTAGGCACAAGCAAGAACTGAAAGGATGCACTCAAAGAATCTGATTTTTTGTTTTTCCTTTCTAATATGTCAGATTTTTTACAACTCTACTAACACTGAAATATATGTCTGCATAATAAAAAAAATGATCACTGAAGTTTGCATGCAAATGGAATAAGATGAAAAAAAAGGACACGGAATCTAAGAAAACTGAAGACCATTTGGAAGATCAATTATTTCAGCACCACACTACATGCCCTGTTAAAATAATCTTTGATTCCTCTGGATTTGTTTCATTCAAACCCTAGAACTTACCCAACCATCCTTGATCCAAAAGCTTAAGCTGAACGTCTGGAATGTAATGCTTGTAATGAATGTAATGTTTGTGCTTCAAAACAATACATATTTCCTTTTAGTGCACATGTCTATGTCACATTTTATTAGAAAATCCTCCTTACAATAACTGACCACCTTCAAAATATTAGCAATTAATATTAATGAGTCCTTTTATAGAAGTAGCGAAATACAAGTCATTTTTCATTGAACTTTGGTTGCAATAATATGGAAAATAAGGCAGTTACCAACCCTTTCTCCCAAATCTCACACTACCTCTTTTAGACTGCTGGGACTCAGAGGAAATCCTTTGCCTCCGGATAGTGAGGAATACTTCTTTTCTAAATTGCAAAGATTTTCTTTCTCCTGTAAAAAATAAGTTATATTTGAGACAGACGTTATACAAATGTCTAAACTGTATTTCTTTTCTTTCAAATGTAACTAGATTTGTAAAAAAAAAAACTTTTAAGATGTTTCAACTGAATATTGTTCATAAATGCATTTTTAAAATTTTTATTCTATCTTCACAGTATAGACAATACAGATATCCTTCCCATTTTGTTTGCTGGATTGGTTTTAATACCAAAATTTCCCACAGTAGATGATATACACAAATATACATGTACTTTTCCTGATACACCTGCCGAGGAAAATTTAACAAATCCACTGCATGTTAATGTAAAGATTCATATTCATTCCAGTGTTATGGAAAATATAGTTCCAATTGGCTTCACTATATACATTATTCACTTCTTATATATATATTATATATATATTCTGTATATATTACAGACCTCTCTATGATACATGGTGGTATTATACTAACTACATGTGTTTACATTTTTTTTTAAAAAAAGAGGAAGTTGAGCCACATAATATCTGTATTTGTAACATTTAATTAAGTTCTTGGAAGAACAAGGAAGAATTGCTTACCCTCTGCAACATCATTAGTAAATTGTTTTTTTCTTTCACAAAATGATCTTGTTCTCTTTGTGCTTGTTGTACAATGTGATTGGCTTGTTTTTTGAGAGCAGAAACCTTTTCCTATCATAAAGATAATGTTAACACATACTTAATATGAGTTTTAGAGTATTGTTCATATAGTTCCTACCCATCTGAAAGTCAAATTTACACAAATTTACAGAGAAGATTACAGAAGAAGCAACATCTCACTCTATTTTTTTTTCTTTGTATTGGGTAGAAGTCCTGTGATTGGACTTCACATGCTTCCATATTCCAGCAGCACTAATAGATGGCACTATCAATATTCCTCTACTACTACTCCAAAATAGAAGAGTAAATAGAAAGAGAAGAATTATGGGAGGATAGGAATATATGAATGTTACAGAACATATGTACAAAGACAAATAAGTTTCTCGGAAAGGTACCATCTCTCTTAAAAATAAAAAAATGTTCTTGTTAAGAAACAAAGAAATGAAAATATAATACTTTAGATTATTTTTCATATGTTAAGTAATTACTAAACCTTAGTGGGCAAATCTAGAAATTAACGGTTAACTGAATTGTTAGTTAAATTGCTAGTTGTTGGCTAGATTAACAACTGAAATCAGCTGGCACTGAAATATTCAAAGATAATGATCTGATCATTTTTCTTTTTAAAAAATTACCTTTCTGCTAACAATGCTACGCTGATATTCAGCAACTTCACGCAGAAGCTGTTGTGTTAAATTCTCTTTTTCTTCATCTAATCTGCTCTCGTTTTCAAGCTGCTGAAATTCCAAATCTTCAAAATGTTTGCTTTCTACCTCCAACAAGTCTGCATCCTTCAATAAGAAAAAATAAATAAATGTATCAGTTTTAAAGACTTGTGCTTGTGAAAGCTGACATAAAGCAAAATAAAAAATAAATAAAAAATAAATAAATTACATCCTAGAGAAGTCTATTTAAGCATGCCTAAGTCTATTTAAGCATGATTTTAAAATACCTGTTGACCTGAAATTAAAATTATCATGTACATCCTCAAATTAATCAATGACAACAGATCCATTGTTTTATTTTAGCCTAGCCATCATGAACAGAGGTATTTAGATGCTAAATATGCACTTCAAAAAAAGAAAACAAATATTTAAATTATATTAAAGGGGGTGCCAATATGAAGAACTGTTGCAGTTTAGAATGGGCATGATTACGGAATAAACTGTAGGCTGTTTGACTTCAGCTACATGCCTCAGATTTATTTATTTATTTATTTATTTTTACCAAATTTCACTTTAAATTTTTTCTTTTTCAGGAAAGAAAAAAATACGTTTAGCTTTCATAATCATCTGATCTAGAAATGTTTGATGATTCTAGTGTGGATGACCTTTCCATATCCCCAAATCTCCCACTATTTCCTATGTTTCTTTTTTATTGTGTTATAAATTTATATTTACAACGGTTGTAAAATTAAAACAAAGCAGTCATCAAATTACATGGAATGATCAAAATACAATCTAATAGAAAAGAATAATTTGGGAAAGGCTTAGTTTATACATTAATTTTCGAAGTGAATATGCACATTTAAGATTAATAATGCTGCAGTAAGAATTAAATAAGTAATCCTTCATGCCTAATTGAGAATTCTTTCCATATTTAGACAAATAGATCTTATCTATTCCTAATCTGATTAAACATCAAAATTCCACTCATACTCAGTCATACTTTAGTGTTCAATGTCACAGAGTGCTAAGCCTTAGATGACTGATAACTTTTGAAGCATGTAGTACACATCCATTGTTAATCCAGCTTTTGACATTCTGTTTAGTTGTCACCATGCACTTACGTTCTTAACAGCAATATAGAAAATCAGCACTGAAGCCATGAAAAAGAGTTGGTTAGAAATCTTTGGGCTTGATCTGATTACAATCACTAAAGAAACACCACATCCATGCTACTGACCCTGTTAAGCTGCTGCTGTAATTGTTCCCTCATGGACTCGGGGCAATTATCAAGCTGAGTCTTCTGCTCGGAGTAAAGCTCCTGAAGCTTTTCTAGTTTTTCCCTCTCAGCATCAAGCTTTATTTTTTCCTGGAGTTTGAGCCATAAAAATAAACAACAGAATTACCTTTAAACCCAAGCAGTAGTTAGTGATTCTGAATGGCAAAGGGCAAAGAGGTGAAACTGAAGGAATGAGCTAAATGCTTCAAAAGAATGCTTTGCATGCTGGTAGGCTGTAGCTATTTTGCATATTAGTGCAATATTCTGAACATAATTTTAACAACCTGGGAATATCCAAAAGGTGGTTTAGTCAACCTGTTATAGATGCTTGTCAGTATATATTCTGCTATTTAACATCATATACGAAAAAATTAATCTCATATAATAAAAAAATTCTTAGGTATATTCAGAAGATATGGACCTTTATGGTAACCAAAGAGAAATTGCCTTGTAGTTTGGAACATATGGTAATTCTATGTTACAATGTTACATAAATAAGAGTTGCTATAAATCATACTACATGTTGTGTGATGTAAGGCTATCTTCAGCAACCTAGCTCCCTGTAGATGTATTGGGGGTCACAACTCTCAGCATGGGGAACAGGAATTGTGGAAGTCATAATCACAACATATGTGAAGAACCTTATCATGGGGATTTTATTAGTTCCATATTCTTCAAGCTTATCTTTACATTAATGAAGATAAAACATTACTGTACAATGACTTGTATCTGTAACAAAGCCATACTCAGATTTGAGAACATGTATGTTCCCAGTATAAACTTTATTAATTTCCATTCTCTGTATGTATTCTTAATTAGCAGAAACAAAGTCACAGTTAGATTTGTAATTATACTCCCGGAGCTATCATATTATTTCTGGGGTTTTGTTCCAGATGAAGTGTTACCTTTAATGCTTTCAGGTTCAATGATACATTAGCTACGATGAAACAGAAATGGTAACATGTTAATTTCCTAATGATAGAAGGAAAATAAGGCAAAGGCTTTACAGCAGATATGTCCAACCTGCGGCCCATTGGCTGTATGTGGCCTTGAAGAGCTAGTAATGCAGTCCAACAAGATGATAAAAATATTAAAAAATAAAGAAAGTTTGTTATTTATATACATTAATTATATATTTTATATGCAACCCAAGACTATTCCTCATCACACAATGTGGCCCAGGCAAACCAGAAGGTTGGACAATCATGCTCTCCAGTGTAAAGAAAATAGGTATTAATCGCAATGACATAAAGATAACAGACAAAGAGATAAGTAGTTCTTAAGTCAGTGTATAAGCAGAAAAAAAGAGAGATCATTCAACAATAAGTGGTTGGGGCAGGAAATTCTGTTTCAGTGATCAAACATGCTGGGGAAAAATCTAGTTTAGCTGAAGGAATCCTATCCTGATCAGATAACACAAATTCTAAGCCAATTAGCTCCTGTCTCAAATATGGCAAAACATTTTTCCATATTCATGTAGATTTCTTTTACCCCAAATCAAAGCAGACTAAATGTTAATGTTACACTACTTTACAAATTTCTCATAAAATGTTTGGTTTGGTTTTGAAGAAAAAAAAAGACTACAAATGCATAAAAACGTGATATTTCATCAACAATATACCAGATGTTTTGTGTTATTCCATCAATAGATCCTTGTAGGCTTAACTTCCACTGGCAAGTAAGATTACTAAAATTGAATAGAATTATTGCACAAAATGACCAACCCTATAACTAAAGGTTTTTTTTCTGAATAATACTATGATTTTTGCAATAGGTTTGCTGATGGTGCAACTCTAATTGGAAGAATAAAATATTTTTATTTCAATCTGCTAGGTTTCTAAGAAGAGTCTTTCTTAACTTTTCACTGGGCTGCTTTATCTTTTTTCCCCAAATTTTCTCTTTTTGATCCTAAACTACATTAGGAGTCACAGAATTTCCTTGTTCATAGCTAAATCTCCCTTTCATCCTTTACTTTCATATTTCCCAAGAAAACAGGTATAGGGGCATCACAATATATCTTCATGTTCTCATATAAAGCAAGAAAAAGTTTTGGGAACAGAGAACTTCATACAAAGAAGAGGTAAGCCAATATCTCACAGCTGTCTACCAGAGTTTCACACACTTCCACAGCTGGCCTATCAATGAGAACTGTTTATTTTTATGGTATACTGAAAAGAAAAATACTCTGGAACATTCTAAATCAGCAAGAAAAAAACCATTCTCTTTCTCTGATTTATAAGAAAACTTCTATAATGTAAAGCTCATTGATTCAATATTTAATTTAAGAGTTCCTAGGACTCCATGGGATTGCCATACTGTTAAGTTTCAGTTTACATTGTAGCAGTACTGATGAACGGAAGAGCATATCAAAAACCCTGCTGAATCATACTAAAGCTCACCTTAGCCTACCTAAATGTTTTTAAGTAGGTTGATTGCACAGAATCCATGCTGATTTTAAGGTGTGTTTATCTACATGCTTAGTTACACTTCTTTGACAATTACTTCTATCAGTTTGCACATAAACAGACGTTAAGCTTACTGGCTTAATAACTTATTAGATGTTCTTGGGTCCCTTTTTAAAAAAATCCATTGCAAAGCTAGTTTTCTACAGCTACAAGTTTAAAAATTGTTTAGTCAATTTTTGTTTCATGAAAAATTAAATATCTGTATCTGTTCCACTGGCAATGAAAACTGAAATAATCTTAATCTGCTAGAATGTTACTGAGCCTTTCAAAAACAAAAAGAAATCTTATAAACTTCTCTTGGTACTTTTATGAATTCTTAGAGCTTCTTCTCATTCAAACACGTTCATTTGCCAGGGTAACAAGGAAGCTAAAGAGAAAAGTTAGCATCTTCTGTTGTTCAGTGATACTAAATACAAGGATGTCATTGAGCTCATCTTACAAGGGAAGTCATTAATTTGGAAGGTTAACAGCTGCATGTAATGGATAGACAAGGAAATATAATGCCAAATGGAAGAGCCATTTCATATTTTTTCTTAAGACTGGAGACATGCATTTTGTTAGATCAGAATTAATGTCTTTTATACAACAGGAACACATAAAGAATAGGGGTGGTTTTTTTTAAAAAAAGGGGCACTATCTTGAACAGACAGTGATCACCATATAAACACGAATATTGAAGATTTATTCCACTACCCTATAATACACTTACTGTATTATGTGCTACAGACAGATACAATGGGAAAAATTTTTCTGAATAAAATGTTATGGCGCACAAGACATATTTGTTTTGTAAAATAAGACTAAATTCTGTAAATTGTACAATTTCCAGCAAACTCTTCCAGAATTAAGGGGTTACTTAATAAGTATTAATTTTACATATAAAAGTGTACATTGGCCAGAATTGTATCTAGACACAAATATAATTGTTTATTGTCCTGTTTACAAAAAAAGTTATTAAGTTTTCATATGGATACTTGGATTTAAAACAGCAATACCTTGGAAAGATTTTTCAAAGTATTCTTTTAAAAATTCAGTAGATATATTATACAAACTTTGTAATCCACATGTATGCATGCTGTGCCTAAACAATTAATTTAATACATTTATTTTAAAACTTTGTTATAAATGGAATGTCCATAAAACAGAACAAAAGGAGGAAAAAGGAATAGACAACTGCCTAGGGCTCTTATCCCTAAAAATTAGTCACAATTTCTAGATAGTACAGAACATAATCATGTATATCCCTTCCATACATATACAATTACATTGATTATATTTGCAATATATTTTTCACAAAAGAAAATATTTATATGCCATTTTATTCCTGTCATTGGTTTCAAGCACTTTGTACTTTGTTTTTAAAAACAGCAACTTATATCTTATTATATACAAACCCCAAAATGTATTTCATTTATAAAAAAAACCATGCCTAAAATAATGCATGCAGCTATAAACACTTGTTTATAACACAAAAATCTATAACTAAAAAAATATCAGAAATCAAATAGTTTGTGATGCTAGAAGGGAGCTGGGTTATTTTCTCTAATAGTTAGGAAATCCTAGAGATATCCACATGCATAATCTAAAGGGTATAACGGAACAACTTATCTCTCTACATACCCTTTGATATCTCAAAGGAAGCCACAAGCTTAGCCAAGTATTCAATTGGGAACTGGCCCAGAACAAACCCCTGCTTCTTAGTGCTGCAGCTATCATTCTCCATTTCCTTCCCCTCTTCACAGTAGGCCTTTTTCCACCCAGATGAACATGCATGATTGAATGTAGCTATCTGTTTGCCTTCCTACTGGAACTTTGCTCTTAGGAAGATTTGAGCATCCTGACCAGGAGATAAACAGCAAAAGAGAAATGAAGCCTGCTGAAGTCCTAAGGCAGGAAGAAAGGAGAAGTCCCAATCCATCCTGAATATATATGTCCTTTTCTCTTGGACAGCTGTGACTGTATCAAATATCATCAACAAAATTCAAATCCTGCTTGGATTCCCAGCTGTGGCAGGAGCCTATAAACCCTGTCTGCTTCACATAAACAAAGCAAGGAATCTCTTTCTCTGGAGAAAATTCAACTTGAAACATCTGTTTTATTTGTCTCAGCTTATATCAAAGCTTTTTCTACTGTGAAAATAATTAATCTGTTAGGGAGGACAAAGACATATTTTACACAAGAAGCAACAAATTCCAAACTGTAAAATTTAATGTTGCAGTTTCCCAAGTATTAACATTCTGAGCTGCAAAATAGTTCTGAAAAATCTAGTCCTCCCTCTCGCAAGTCTTCAAACTTGCTTAATTTAAGAAATGTTTGTTAAGCCAGAAGTATAACTGAAAAAAACTGAACCAGCTGAACTTCAAATCCCTCAGAAATTATAAATTCCAATTAGAAAATGATTCAATACTTTCCATAAAATACCAGAATGCCAGAATTATATCCCAAATAGACCTCATTTGGACAATGCTGCAAGGCTTTGTAAAACAAGGCAATGGGCAAATATATTGGTCATAATCTTGGTCACATCGTGGCTTTACAATGAATAGTCAAGCTTGTGTAAACTAAATTGTTTCAAAGTATTAGCCCAAAACAGAACAAAATATCTTCACACTGATTTCCTGATTTTTGATATTACACTTTATCTCTGGATTAATGTTGTGCCAAGATACTGCACAACAGAATAAAGGTAGAGAGGACAAGAGAAATATACCTATAACTTCACAAGCCATACTTAAGTTTATTGTCTAAACAGTCATAATATCAAACTATTGACTATTTCTAATTAAAAATAATTCATAAACCTAGATTTAAGAGTTGTAAAAAGTTTCCTTGCCTTGACAGTGTACTATAAAGACTTTAATGTTTTACAGATAAAATTGCTCATAAATGCAGTCACTTTGAAACTGCCATTAATGATAATCATGTGAAAGAGGAAGCCAGTGCAGCTGCTGATCAATTAGATGGAAATCTGGTTACGTTTTCATTCATGGCATTGCTTTTTCAGAATTTCACAAGCCCTAGAAACACATGCTTTACAACCATCATACAAATACGAAGGAGATTTCCTATCAAGCAGGTGTCCAAATCAAGACTTCATAGAGGTTCTTAACCCTTTTCCTGAACACAAGGCTATCAAATGTACAAATACAACTGCTACATTTTAATGAGCGAAAGTGTTTTATCTTTCATACGATCTAATATTTCACTCTTCATGAACATCCAATTGCTATTAAACATCACAACTTTTAAGAAAATAAGAGTTGCTTCTGGAGGAAAAAAATGGGGGATTGAAGAGGCTCTGTGAAAAAAAGAGCTGACAACCTTAAAAATTATAATAGTTAGAAGACTGTTATAAAAGAAGGGGATATAAAGTTGGTTTATTTGATCAAGGTTACAATCGATGTCTTATTATTTCTGGTAACCCTTAATGGACTTTAACTTTGACCAAAACTGAAATAACAATGCTTTATGGATTTGTTTATGGAAATAAGATCTGGGAAAAATAGACAATTTGTTGTATTTTAAGAGGACATGATAAATTACTAATATTTATATTTGTGATGCAGATTGTAAGTCACTTCTTTGTATATTTTTCTTTTTTTATTTGTACTTTTCTTTCTTCTCCATTTTATTCTTTCTTTTCTACACCGTCTGCTCTTTTTATTTTTATTTTTTAGTTTCTATTTTTATTGTTGTACCTATAATCATTAATTATAACTTTACTATAAAAAAGAAATGAAAAGCAAAACCATAAAATGGAAATAGGTAGAAATGTGATATCAGTTTCAGGATAATATTCAGTATAAATTATATAGTTTTACTACCGTGTTTTTCATATAATAAGGCCGGGTCTTATTTTTTTTGAGTCCCGAAAAAATGGCTAGGCCGTCTTTTCAGGGGTGACTTAATTCCCTCCCCTTGCATCTTCGGGCAGGCGGGCGGCAACAACTTGGATGTTGACCTTGGCGTTGGTGGGGCACTTTGTATCAGGGTCAACGCAGGCAGCACCATATCCGGGTGTGCAACAAAAGTACTTCCTAACAGCAAGCCCCCCCGCCATTCCCCCCCCCCATTTCGCATGTTTTAATATAGGCCTTAATTTGGGGGGAGCGGCTTAATTTCATTTCATGCCTATAAAACATGCTGGAACTCCCTATTGGGGGACGCCGTATTGTTGGAGAAACAGGGTAACAAACAGTTCCAGTGAATTCAGCTGTGTTTATTTCAAGGAAGTAGACATTTTCAATCTAAAAGAAACAAATGTATACTGAAAGACTGCACTATTGTTTGGAATTAATAATTCTTTTTAGAAATTACAAAAATATAAAATAAATTACCAAAATTATTTTAGAGATCTTTCTCTACAAAAGTCCATGGGGGAAAATACTTTTACAATTTAATTGCTGAGCATAATGTTGAAAACTAACCTCTAAAGAGAAGAATAAGCAATAGGATATGACAAAATTATATTTTATTATTCACATTAAAACTTTAAATTGTCCCTGGAACTGAAATGGAAGCCAACAAGATTCATTTATCACTAATGAATGAATACAGTTCATGAGCTGTATTAAGTAACAGGGGACGGAGGAGTTAGGAGATTCAAACTAGCATATCTTCTGCCTTTACATCCTCCCACCAGTTAGTTATATGTGATGTATAGAATGGCACATGCCTCACTAACTGGAGATTAACAAACATGCCTAACTGAAGCAGAGCTATTTTTCCTGTTTTAAAAATATGCTGAAAGCCTTCAGAACAGATTTAAACATAAACATAAGCAACAATTACAAATGTAACCTTGACTCTCTAATCAGAACAGTATGGACATTCTAACGAGTTTCTAGAAGGTACAAGATAATTCAATCTCCTTTTCTATTGGTAATCCAATCTACAAAATCTATAAACCAATGCTATTGCTATGAAATTATATTGTTTCTCTCTATGAAGTGAATGGGGAAGATCCTGAAATAAAAGCTACAGTATATCAAATAAGGAACTAGTAGATTAGTATGTATCAGACCTGAATTAGGACCAGAGTAAACTTCATTGTATATGAAAGCAATTAGATTAACAGTGTTTCAATATTTGAGGGGCTGCCACAGAGATGAGGGGGTCAAGCTATTTTCTAAAGCATCTGTAGGCCAGACAAGGAATAATGTATGGAAACTGAACCTGGAAATAAGGAGAAATTTTCTGACAGTGAAAACAATCAAACAATGGAACAGCTTGCCCTCGGAAGTTGTGGGAGCGCCATCACTTGAGACTTTCAAGAAGAGATTGGACTGTCATTCGTCAGAAATGGTGTAGGGTCTCCCGCTTGGGAGGGGGTTGGACTAGATGACCTACAAAGTCCCTTCCAACTCTGATTATCTGTTATCTGTTAGATTGTACAACATTTGATATATAATTACTTAATCCTATTTGTAAAAATTAGGAGAGGGGCCAATAACATTCTAACTGCATATCTCTTTAACCCTAAAATAATCCATTAAAATTTAATAATACCCTATATTTCTTTTTCCTCCCAAGGTACTGTAGGTAGTACAATTAACAGCCATATATGATATAATGACCCTATAAAATACATCCAGTGTTTTGATATTTTTTCTCTTCAAGTTTACAAATATTTAATTGTAAACAGTTAAACAGCTGATGCTCATTTATCACTTACATTGTAGGAGTTTTCCCTGTTTACATACTGTAACTAGTATTACATTATTGCCAGAATAATGGCTATATGAATATATCACACGTATAATTAATGTGCATCACTTAGAAATAGAAATAAGTAGTACGAGGTAGCTATTTAAAAACATTGGGTCCAATCCTATTGCTTAGTGCAGGAATTCCATCTAATCAGCTCCATCAGATGTTTCTGTCTGAAATGCTAAATGGTTATGACAAAGTCTCCTAAAGTATAAGATTGTTAAATAATTGGCTAGAGAATGCAAAATAAACTATTTAATGCATATATGTTCATTATGAGAGAGAGAGACAGAGAGAATTGATACAAATATGAAATGTATATATTTTAAGATGTATTAAATTAAAAAATTTCTTTCATTCTTATATAATTATAAAAGTATTGAATTTTTATAATTCAACATACTATTTATTTTCTTAATTATCTGATATCAGTATCAATTTATACTTCTATTTTATTTTCCACAAACTTGGAAAATAAGCAATTGTCTTTTAATAAGTTGCAATACCTTTTTTCCTGCCTTTAATTTTAAACAATGTATTCTTCCTTTAATTTTAAGCAATGGTATCTTCTCTCTAAAATTCCAACACCTTGGGAAAAATGTGATATCATCCACTTATTTACCTTGGCCTTTTCACCAATGACATTTCTCTCCAACTCTGCTATCTTCCTGTTCAAATGATCTACTATTTCCTTCTCCTTGAGCAGTTCAGCTGTTTCAGATTTCTGCTCTGCTTCCAATAGGGCACATTCCATATCCATCTAAGAACATAAAAAAATTTCTCAACCTCAATCTCCTTCATAAAGTAATTCCAACATACAGTATATCTTGAAAGTTTACTTACATATGATATACATTTGAATACAAACACTGTCCTTAGAAAGAAACAATGGTTTAAATAGATAAGCATACCTAAACGAACAGAAAATGCTGCAAAATATTGAATGCATAAATCAACTACAAGCTTATTTTCACAAAATGTCTAGATCTTTTGGCTCGTAGTTTAAGAACTTCCTTGTGACAAATCATTGCACTGGCACATTGGAGGAAAAATAAGATTGCAAGAAAATAAAATGGAAATGTATATAATTTGGCTGAAATTAGTAGGAATGTATTGAGAGGATTCTTTACAAATAGCATTTAGACTTATATGCCACTGCATAATGCTTTACAGCACTCTCTAAGCAGTTTATAGAGTCAGCATATTGCCCCTCACAATCTCGGTCCTCATATTACCAACCTCAGAAGGCTGGAAGTCTGTGTCAACCTTGAACTGATGAGGATTGAACTCCTGATAGTGAGCTGAATTAGCCTGCAATACTGCATTCTGACCACTGCATCATCACAGCTCATGTCTTTGAATGCTCTGGCCTTTCAGAAGTACAATTTACTGAACATCATATAGTATCCGGAGCAATTGTTATATTGGGTATCACTGCCAGCAGTAATCAATTCAAATTGATTATCTATCTGCAATATTCTTATATTTACAAAATGTAAGTACAACATATTGTAATATTCTGCCAGACTAATCATCACAGATATATTTCTTTAAAGATGTAGTACAGAATAAATCCCAACAAATTATTTATTTATTCAATTAATTAATTTGTAAGCTGCTCATCTCTACAGAAAGAACTCTGGGATTCTTAAATTAAGTCCTAATTTACCAGTATCCAATTTACAGTCTAGATTATAATTACTAAATCTAATTATCCTATTCTATCTTAGTTTTGCATCTGAATTATATTAATGTCTAGGACTAATTCCATGTAGGAAAGTGCTAAAAGAGTTAGCTAATATTGTAAGTGAAGTTAAAAGGTATAATTATTTCTTTCTTCCTTCACTTTATTTGTGGTCATGAAATGTTTTTTTTTTATGAGAAATACCATTTTAATTATCTGTATAAATGTCTTGAAACTAAGTATGAATTCCAGAACAAGAATTTATAGCATATTTAAAAATGAAAATCCATCATTCAGAAATAAAAAAGAGATCTTATACCTCTCTGGAGGATTCATCCATCTGATCATTTAAGTCTTTGATCTTTTGTTCAAGTTCTTCCAGGTTATTTAGTATTATAATGCGCTGTTCTTCCATTTGATTAAGTTCTGATGTTATTTGTTCATTGCTTATGCATTCTGGTGACTGTAACAAATCAACAATTGCCTTTTTTAAAAGAAGAGCTTTTAAAGGAAGAACATGTCTTATCATTTTTCTTTCTTTTCTTAAAAAACAACTAAAAATTAATAATAATAACTTAATAATTAAGTAATCTGTTACAGTACATTCTAGAATAATCATTCATTTTCATATATTTTTTCTATAAACAAAATAAGCACAAACACCAAAAGCATGCAGAAAGCATAATTATTGTTAAATTATTTCAAAGTTTGGTACGAAAGTTCTTCAAAGTGTAATTCTATAAATCCTATTTAGCATGTCTCCTACAATGTTTTGGTTAAAGGAATCAGGCTTGAAAGTAGGAGGCAATGAGTTCTAGCTCCACCTTAGGCAATTGTGCAACCTTGATTACACAGTCACATTCTCTCAGCCTAGGAATAAGGCAACAAACAGCAAACTACTTCCAAAAATCTTGCCAAAAAAACCCTTATCCAGACAGTCATCAAGACTCAACACAGATTCGAACAGGAAAAAAAGAAAGGAAGAAAAGATATATTCTCCCTTTGAGATATGTTTTTTCCCTTACTGATAACATCTCTTGGTCATTTTATCTATAAGTTTTAAAGATAGTCTGTTTGAACTAGATGTCTACATATGAAATTAAAATGCTGCCCTCTTTACTTTTGACTACTGATATAACTGCAATCTGTGTGATTATGCCTATGATTCCTTCCTGTCATATCAAAGGAAGATACATTTTTTGGAAAGCAGTTTTTGCTGAAAAGACACCACACCTGAAAATTACAGCTTTCTTTTGTGTATTGGTAATGATAATCAATCACAAACTACACTGCAATCTGTTTCTGCCTCCAGAAAAGAATTGTCTTTCCCTCTCCCACCCAGCCTCCACAAAAAGAGTCTTTGGAACAGTCCTAAAAAGAAAAAAGTAAGTATGTCTGGAATTTGCAAAATATACCAACAGTTAAAATATATTTATGAACCTTCCACCAGAAAAGTATTATATTTACCTTTGACATAATGCTTAGATAGGGAGATTCAGTGACATCCTTAAGGAAAGCAGAAGATAAAGGTGAACTTGTCCTGTTGCCATTTAAATGTTTATTTGTTCCTCTTGAAGAAAAGAAACCCATAGCATTTTGTCCAAGATCATTGAATTCAGAGAAATCAGAATCTTCAGCTGGAAGCTGCAAATGATCTCTGAATCTTGAGTCTGCTATTATCTGAGAATCTTCAAAGACCGAATCTTCATCAGACAACTGGAGTTTTTCAAGTTCTTTATTAATTTTCTGAACATCAGCTACGGTAGTGACTGTGGCAGGTTCATTGTCAGTCTTGGAATATTCTGCACATAGATTAAGAATGGTTTCTAGTCTCTGGCGCTCCTAATATCGAAACAAATAATTAAAAATAGAATATATATCACAGTTTCACATATTTTGTGGGCATCATAATTTTTTTTCAGGCATGTCAATCAAACTTTATTCTAAACTATGAACATTTATATTAAATATACAGATTAAAGGAGAACTTCAGTATTTAGAAATTCAGAATCAAAATCCAATGAATAATCAGAATGGCACCATCAGTGAAAATTGGCTAGCACTTTACCATTCAATCACAAGGCCTTAAGAAAGGCAATTTCTCATAAAACTCATAAAATCAGAAACTGAATATAATTTGCGGTTGAAGGCATTCAAGAGTCACCTTGAACTATGAGATGGGCAGCAAATAATTGATAGACAGACAGACAGATACAATTTTGTGCAAAATTGACAGTGAAATGATGGCTTTCATTTTCTTGTAGTCTGTAAAACTGAAGACATTTCTCAACATAAAAAAAAAATACAAAAGGAAGAAAAAAAGCCTATCTCATGGCATCCAAGGAAATAACAAAGACTATCTCTTCCAAGTCCACAATAAACCCTGAGCATTAACTAAAAGTCAAGACTATTCAAGGAAATAACTAGTTTTACTATGCTGACTATTGATTTTGCTTTGAACTTCTGTGTCTGCTGTTGTCTTCCCTTGCTTTCCCCATATTTCTTTTTCCAATGAGATCTTTTGAAGGACCACATCTCCCCAGCCCACCAGAGCAGGAAGAAAACGGTATGTTAGAGGCCCATCCATTATAGCGGCAAAACTTGTAGGACCAAGGAAAAGTCCTTCTCTATGGTGCTTGCTTCCCTTTGGAATATCATTCTCCCAATGACTGAATTACATAACGAAGTTACTTAACAAAGTAAAACCTTGTTACTTTTCGGGAAGACCTTGAATATGTGGTTTTGTCAGCAGATCTGGGGACCCTTCACTGATACAGAGTCAATCAAGTGGCTGGAGTGAGTATGGAAAGGAAATTTTACACTTTGATATTTTAATGTTGTAAATAACCCAGAGTCAACGTGTGTGAATTGCGTGGCCTATAAATTTGTTTAAAATAAATAAATTTCTATAGCTTCAGCTTCACTGCTTTAATACGGGAATGTATCATTAGATAATACTCTAATGAGTATTATCTAATGCAAGCTTGGATAGTTACACTTTTGTATTTCAAGCCTGCAATAAGCTTTGTTCTATATTTCTATTGGTGGCTACCTACAAATAAAGAAGCCTTCAAAGATTATGTCTTTCATGCGGACTTCCGGTTTGTCGGCTTCGGCAGCGGCAGGGATTCGTGATCCTGCGCGATCCCTGTTGCGCTAGCCGTCTTGGTGCCTCCGATCCGGACGGGTTTGGAGGCTAAGGTTGCCCCGTAGAGGCAGCCGAAGATAGAAGGGATCCGGACAGGGGGTTGGGGTTTTCGCAGACCCCTTCCCCACCCGGCTTAACCCTCTTTTCTCAAGGCGGTGGAGCAGCGGTCAGCAATGGCCACCACAAAGAAGCTGACAGCTGGACAAGATTGTGCTGGAGGAAGAAGGAGAAAGTTCTGAAGCGAAAGTTTTTTGGCTGAACTGGGACTATAAGATACAAGTAATATCCTGAAAATCCTGATTTTTTGAAAGATACTTTGTTTCCAGAAGAGATTTACAAGCGGCGAGTGAAAGTGCTTAAAGAGAAAGTTTACTCTCCTTCCACATGGATTTAACAAATGGATATTGAAAATCCTGCTATTTTACAGAAGGTAAAAATTTAAAGCTTTCTGTTATAAGTGGGAAGGGAGAGGAAAAAAGGAAAATTTTTATTAAGATTTTGTTGGAGGAGATGCCTGGAAGATTTTGAGATTGGAAGTTAATTGCAATAAGACTTTAAAATACAGATTGGGTTTTTTTTTCCCTTGCCAATTGATATTACCCCAGGAAGAAAAAGTGTGAAGAACTTTGTGCTCTGTTTGGATTGTTTGATGACTTTGGGATTTTGGGGAATTGTTTCAAGCTTTGAATTATCTTGGTTGTTTTAAGAAGAAGAAGAAGAGAAAAAAGAAGAAGAAAAGGTTTATAATGGCTTTATCTGTTGAGGAACTGAGAGAGGAATATGGTAAAATAAAAAAAGAAGGTAAAGACGGTGTGAGAGAAATTTTTCGCTTTTTAGAAATGGCGCTTGCCACTTATCAACAAACACAACAATTAGAGGAGGAGGAGGAGGAGGAGGAGGAGGAGGAGGAGGAGGAAGAAGAAGAAGAAGAAGAAGCCATCTTTAACGAGTCTACAAAGTTGATTAAGAAAGGAAGGAGAAAGAGAGGAAGGAAAAAGGACATAAGACTTAAAAAAACATCCAAGAAAGAGAAAAATAAGATGCAAAATCAATACAATGTTAGAAAGCAAAAGAAAAGAGAAATACAACAGAGAGGGGAAGCTAAGGGGGGTAAAAAGACCAGATGGGATAAGATAGGAAGGAAGAAGGGGGGGAAAAGCCACAAAGGTATGAAACAAGATGTGAAAAAGAAATCTTTTTTTAGGGATAATGGGTAATGCATAACTTTGTTTTAAAATGTTTCTGCAAGGTACATAACATAGTACTGTAGTATTTGTATTAGAAATAGAAAATTAGAATTTTATAAGACTTAAGTAAAGATTAAAACATTAAAGGTTTAATAATGATAGATTTTAAGATTTAATAAAATATTAAAAGGAATGTTTAAAATATTTAGTTTAAGTATAGAGTTTAATTGACTATTGTGTGGATGTTTGTATGAACTTATTATTATGGTATTTGTTTTTGAAATAGATAATTGGAATGTTATGAGATTTAATGTTTAATTATATATTTAATTACTTTATGGATTTACTATTTTAGTAAGTAGAATGTACTAAGCAGAATTAGATAGGGAACTAGGTGTTACCTTAAATGTTAATTTAGGGGAGCGATGGAAAGGCATCATACTTCGATTAGTGATTTCAGGAGAAATCTTTTTTTTCTAATATGAATGAGATAAATGGATAATTGGAAAATAATGGACAAAAGATACAAATATAATGATTTAAATTAAGATGAAATAAATAAAATAGAATTAAGAAGAGTGGAAAGCGGGGAGAAGTTATAATGAAGATATAGAAGGGTAAATAAGATAGGTAATGGCATATAAGTTGAACATGGATTTAATTGAAGTCCATACAAAGAGAGGTAACCCGGGGCCAAGCTACTTTTTAAAAAGAAGTTTTATGTTTTTGTGTTTTGTGTGTGTATGTTTGATTGAGATTTAATAAAACCTTGGGAGAAAGCGAGAAGAATAATTGTAAACAAGGCAGAGGGAAATATGAATATGATGAGTATAAAATGGATAAATATAGAAGAAATGTAATTGAATAAGAGCAAAGAGAAATAATGAGAAATTTGCTAAAAAATATTTAAGTGGAAATGGGATATATTAGAATTATATTGTATAAAACAATGTTTTATCTGCTTTGTAAAAATTTATAATGGAAAGAGGTTTAATGTCTTTAATGTCTAATGATGCTTTGTTTGCCTTTAAAATTAATAAAATTTGTTTAAAAAAAAAAGATTATGTCTTTCATAAGTCTTCTGCATGTAAGACATATTTTTTTAAAGAAAAAGTATAGATAATTTTAAAAAAAGCAATATCCTTATACTCTACCCCTTGGAATTTCTTGAGTTTCCATAATTGGTCTAAAAGCAATTAAGACGATGGTAAAAATATTAGCATAAACAAACATAAACAGCAAACTGTATGATAATTTCACTTTACTAACATCTTACTGAATTGCTGATTCATACCTATTGAGAAAGTCTAGTCTATTTTACAACATAACAATATTACAAAATCTATTGCTAACTCAAGAGTTTTCTATCTTTAAGTGAAATATGTCACAATTTTAAGACAATGTATGTTTCAATCTATAAGCTAAGGTACCTTAGAAGATTACTCTGCATTAAAAAGCAGTAACAATGAACACAAATACTGAGAAACTTCATTTGAAGATACATATTCTTCACAGTATTTTATAGTGGTGTTCATTTCTCAAGAAAACCCAAAACAATAAATTCAAATTCTGCTTTTCTTAAGTGCAAAGGTAAGAGAAAGCAAAGATATAGACATTAGATGTAATCAAAGCCTTTGTTTAATTACTTAGAAAAGCCTGTTGAATTCAAAGGGTATAATCCTAAATAAATGCACAAATAAGTACTGAAGCCTGGTTAACCCTTTGTTTTAGCAGGAATTGGAGAGTGTCAAGTTCAATAATCATGTTTGCATATCCATGAAATTAATGCAGAAACTTCTTTATTGCAAGAAAAACTACTCTCTTAACTATCCAATTCACAGTTAATTTTTAAATCTGCCTAACCTATGTAGAAAAGCTCAAATGTGGCATTAAAAATTAAGTGTATACTTTTAAATTATCCCTTAATTTAAATTCCCTTCCTTCCTCTTTTCAAACAAAACATTAAATTAGGAAGACAAAATGACAATGAAATCCTTGCACCTTAAAACTCTTTTCTTCCCTCAAAGCATTTTCACCGTAAGCCTTCAGCTCTCTCTTCTTTTGCTTAAACAGTGTTTGTTCTCTTCCTCTTAAACCTGAGTCCTTGGAGTACCCAACCCATTTCTGAAAGCTCCGTCTGACTGCTGGCCAGGAACACCAACATTCAGCCATTACTTGCTGACTTTAATGCTACCTTCACTGCAGTAATTAAGAATTGAAATAAACAGTGCTTCCTCTCTGAGCCAACCCGCACGTATAGTGACAGGATATGTTCAATTTGGTCTCTTTTTCCCCACTCACCCTTCAGAATGCAGGATGTATCAAATAGTAGCCCACACACAAATATTTTCCCCTGCCCAGTTCCAAATGAATGCAGCCGAGGTGTAGTTTGACAATGATATGTACCAAACTCCTACTTTTGGACAGAATGCTATCTTGGCATTATACATATTTCTATTCTTTGAGAGGAAAAAAAATCTACCATTACCAGCAGTTAAAAACACAAA